TGTTCAAAGCAGCATAAGCAGGACACCCTAAAACTTTTTTTTCAACTTTTAAAGCCTTTCAGCTTTATCTGGTACCAATGAAATCAAAATTATCAGAAAAAATGCAAAACTGAAGAAGGTTTTGTTTTGAACCAATAATAGAATTTTCCATCTGAAATTCTTTATGTCTGGTTTTAAAAAAGCACCAGAGTCATGTTGTTTATACAGCAGCCTATGCAGTTGAAAAGAGAGGGTCTCTGCCTTGTGCACTCTGGTACCAACAGTTTGTGCAACCCCACTAACATTTACCCAGACACATCCCACATGAGGCTATGCACACTGTGGAATGGGTCTGGGCTCTTTTATGTTCTATCTAGGTGGTAACATGAGAGGTCAATTAACAGGGACAGTTTGGTTAGTGTTAAAATTATAGTCAAAAACGCAAACCATACCCAATATATCTCACCACAAGATTACTGTGGTACACTCCTAAACAAAGAAGGAACCCTATAAACTGTTAAGTACCAATTAAGGACAGGTGCCTTTGCTTTAAATCAGTCTTGTAATTTGGGGAATTCCAATTCTATACATCTGCCAGACTGTTTTAATCTTACATCAGACCAATACAAAACTAGTTTCCTGGAATTAGAAGGGTATATTCACCTTGAATGCTTCAGCTCAGGCGGTGGCCCATGTTCATTAGAAAATGGGAGTTATCTGTGACAGGTGCAATCTTAACCTTTGGCAACAAAGGCACACAGACATATTGCTCACAAAAAAAAGTCAATAGAAGCAATTGCACATGACAAACTGCACAAAAATTGCACATCGAATAAATAATGCTAACCCATTTACATTTTGTAAAATTTGAAGAATGCTCTAATGGCTGACATAAAAACTGATTTTTGGGCCCATTAGCTTCTCTAGGTACGACAATAAAAAATCGAACAAATGAATGAATAGTTAATTGTACATAAGTGTGCGTGAGTGTGTGTGTGTGAGAGAGAGAGAGGATGGGGGGGGGGGGGTGGAGGCAGTGGAAGGAAAAGTAAATCATCAATATTCAAGGTACACAAGGAGGAATTGCAGATATGTGGTTCAAAGTAACTTGTTTCTGTGCTCAGTGACCTCTGTCAAGCACCCTAGAGACTTCAGACAGCTAATGATCTTGGCCAAGTTTCAGCTAAATCATGACTGACATTCATAGTCTCAGTTTTCTCCAAATATTTACACCTGACCTTAGAAATTTAGCAACTTTGCCAGTCAATGAAAACTTTTGAGGACAGGCTGCACCATCCGAGTGAAGTAACCAATGAAATGCTGATCCTAGGGGCACAGCCCTCTACTTCTCTGAAATGAACCAAAAACTTGGCATGCTGTCTTGAAAAGTGGCCAAATCTTATTCAAAACAAAAACACCAAAGATCAAAAAACGATAATCTTCACAAGGGACATTCCTCAAAATTAAATGACTGCATGTTTTTTGTCTATATAGCTGGGTCACTACTTGCCCAAACATTTCTTATTTAGTGCTTCCTGCATTTTAAGAAAAAAGTGATATCTTTGACAAAATCTTACCCCTAGCCTCTATGCAATGAACTTACTGTGACCGATAATTTCAGTTTCAGATCTAGAATGCCACTAGATGACGTAACTGCAATAACGTCAACAAAAAACACTTCTTAATCTTTTGCTCCAAGGTGTATGTACTTGTGGGATGGGATGTTTAGATTATGCTCATTGCAAAGTTAGACGTCATAACAATAATATTTTTAAATCCTACAAACAGTACAATCAATTTGGCTTTTATTTTTTATTCTTGAACTTTATACAGTAAACACAACTTGAAAGAAAATTCCTTTCTCACGTTTGTGAATGTTTTGACTCTCTTTCCAATTCACCACATCACGAGACTTTCCCATGTGTTTTAAGCATGTGGTAATATTCAAGGAACTAATCATCACATTTGCTTCTCCAGAAATCTGTAATATTCAGATAGTCTTAAATGTAATGGCTTTGTCATATTTTTATAACATCATAATGTTTCTGTTATCTTTAGCTGAAAAAAAAAATCGAGTAAATGTCAGCACCTTCTCCTTATTAGCTTTCTGAAACTTTTCTGCATTTGAACAAACTCCTCAAGGTGATTCAAAAGATGCATTCACTTCTTTGTTTTTGTTCTGATGCACTAGTTTTTCCATATAATTTAACTTTAACATGTAACTCATTTTAATGTAAATGTTCAAAACTTTTTGTTTGATGGGTCACATCGGTACAGAGCAGGATACCCTAGCAAACACTACAGCCCTCCTAACTGTAGGGCTTTCCTATGCCTGGTCACTTTTTGTGAAAAAGTCAATTTCCATGAAATATGAGCCACGAGAGTAAAAGTTCAGTAATTCATGTCATGAATGTTATAAAAACTAAGCCGAAGTGCAGGTGCACTGGTTGACAAATGTAGCCTAGGCATGAAAGAAATATAAAATTGTTGCCAATCTGAAAATAAAACCAGTTCGCAGTATCCTGCCATAACTGCACCTGAAGTGTAGTAAGATGCTCACTGTGTTCACGGCCCTCAGAGCCACAAGCATGGCAGGGTGTGAAGATAAAGAGTAACAAACCATTCATTTACTGGACACAGGGTTATCACGGTAACCTATTGAACTATTCCGTATTTTCTGAAGGAAATTTGCACCCGTCTGACAGAGCTCTATCAGGAAGATGAACAGAAAAGAAACAAATAGACTCAGCTGGTGAATGCCACCCACCGGATCCCATATATCCTGAGGCCGTCAATGATGAACTGTAGTACTACACTAGTAGACTAATTTGGCATTGATCTATTTGTTTCCACATTTTCTACTTTGAATTCCTCCCCAGTAGCATGTTCTCATGAATGAGAGTCATTTACACACCTACATACAGCTAACTGTGGAGGAGTGGTGGATTTGAAGTAGATGGAAATAAACCATACTGTACTTAATGTTAAGAACATAATCAATAAGACTGCCCTCAGGGGAAACTGGCTTCCAGGATGCTACTGACACTCTCTACGCTATACACAGCCCTTTTAAAAACAAATTATTACTAAAAGATGCAATTTCTAGTACATCAAGTAACAGGCACACAGGCCTTACCTGAGCTGTCTTGAAACAGGTTAATGGACTGAGTATAATTACAATATCTTTCTATTGTATAAAGGACAAAAACACTTTCATTAAACATGTGTAGTGTACCAAGCTAACTTTAAAAAGATAATAAATATCACTAAGTATTATCCTATAAATTTATCATCAAACATTTTTAATATTTATCTGCTTTAACTTAATTTTCATTTCAGAAAATGGTTATTTTCATTTCAGAAAAAAGTTCTGAAAGAATTATTGTTAACTATTATTTTCCAGTGGTTTTAAAATTACTCCTTTTTGTAAACATTTGTTTTTCATGTTTAGGAATGGTTAACTTACATCTGTCAGATAAATTGTATTGTATGAAAATAATGAGTGTTTTCCACAAATACTTCCACTAGCTTTCCAAAATGTAAATCAACCCAATGAAACTGACCCTACATTTTGTTTGGAGTGTACTAACCTACAGATCACAAACATGTGGTAGTTGAGACATTAAGAGTAACTTCACAACACACACATCATGAAGAGCTTAACAACTGCAATCGAAGCATGTTGAAAAACAATTCTGGCAATCTGAAACACTAGTTTTAGTTTTCTTTTTTGCCTACTGATATCATAAGTGTATTGCTTAGAACCTCAACTTAAAAGTGCAGGCAAAATAATTCACTGCATATCACCAGCACTTTTAGATAAAATGATTATGGAATGCCCACATCTTTTGTGCATTGTTAATCATGTATAAAATAACTTTTAGAAATAAACAAAAATTTTAACTTCCCTTCTCAACGAATAGGTTTTAATTTTTTTTTTAAATTTCTATTTCAGTGATACATTTATTCATTTTCAAATATTAATTTCCTTTCCAAAATGTAATGAAAACAATTTTTTTTCTATCAAACAATAGTCAATTTTACATTACAAACATTCTACATCTTTTAGCAAAGCAGAGTCCCTGCAATGCATATAAATCACTACGTTTTTTTTATATGATTCACTCCACATGCCAAAGAATAAACTAAATTAATCATTCCCTCAGCCAATTAACAAAGTTTTAAAACTGCAACTTCTTCAAACTGTTGGTCTTAATTTGACCCATTTGTCCCAGTTCATAAGTCTGCCTAATGATGTCTGTACAAACGGGATATCTGTACAAACAGAGAGGCATGTTTTGCTGGAATTCCCTATGACTAAACAACTAGGAGAACAGTATGACCTCAACTTTAATATTGTACATGAGCTGTGTGAAAGGTCTTTGGAATTTGTTGTAGACTTTATGTATGAAGCGCATGTTCAGTACCAACATGTATAGATTATTTATAAGCAGCACCTGGGTTATAAGCTCTGTATATTGTGTGTGTTTTCAGATTGTGAATAACTTTTATTTATGTTGCCACACATTCATGGAATAAACTATTACTACTACTGATACTACTAGACATGTATAAAGCATTACTGCTGCATGCTGTTACAGCATAATCATTCAAAATAGGGTTGGCGAAAACTACCCATGGATATATAAAGGAAAGCATTTGTTTAAATATAATTCTACCAGAAATACAAAACCATATCTTTTGGCATGTCCTGAAGCTATGCTTTTTGAAACTCAACTTTATGGTGGCACTTGGTTGGGTATACGTAGTGGCAATGATTTGACATGTAAATTAGCTTCAAATGCATTTTTAAGAGCAAGCATCCAATCCAAAGAAGGGTATATCAATACTTAGTAAGTAGGATAAATTGCTTTTTTTCACAATGAAAATTTGATTTTGTGCAAAAACTTTCATAAAGGACCCTTTTACAAGCAAAATCCCCATCAAAATTAAATTGGCCTCTACTGTACATAAGGTTGAAGGCTATATCTCCAGACAAACCGTCTATCCATAAAAATATATAGATGGCCACTTTTCTGTTTATTCTCTTAGTTAAGAAACTTGCATTCTTATGTCATTTTGCCAATTTTGCTCACCTACTATTTGCTTGATAAAAAGAACTTAAATTCTATTGTTTGCAACAATAACAGCAAAATTTTTTTTCAAAATAAGTGTATTACATTTCAACTAAAAGTAAATAATATACAAGTGTGTTCAAAACCACAACAAAACTGTTGTAAATAGCCAATAGCCGCATATAGGTTCAAACTGCAATGACAATCACTGCTTTAACAGTATTCTGTATATTCCTATGTTCAAGCAACAGTATTTTTACATTCTGCTGTTTTAGCTCAGTTAAGCAACAGAATTTCTGTTTTATCCTTATAATACAGGCGCATCCTTTGTGTTATTTTGTAGATACCCTTGTTTTTTTATTCCAGGCAAAATTTGCACCGTATGACTTCTTTCGTAATACTTTTTGTGTTGGGGCTTCTACATGGTACTTGTAACCTTATAAGAGAAGAAAAAGAAGAATATTTAACTTCACTTCACAGTACAATACAACATTAGAAAAAAACAACAATTTCTTTCTTGCCAACTTGTATACTTTTAGATTGGTGAGATTTCCCAAGATGGATGCAATTTAGTAACCAAACTATAACTTTAAGTAAAATATCTCCCTCTTTTTTCATAGTGTGATACCATGTTTAAAGATTCATCATATGCATGTAACTCACCCATTCTTTCTGCATGTCTTACTGCATCCTCCTGAGAGCTGAATTCAAGAACTATATTTGATAACGGGTCACCCCTAACAAAAAAAAGAACATAAAAAAAATTAATTTTTAATTGTAACACTTGTTTCAACTGTAATGATAATATGCAGTATATTTCATTGTCCACTGCAATTAAATAAATGGCATTATTTTGTGAAAGTTTAGAATAATATAAACACTTACGAAGATGACCATCCCATCAGAGGGTTTTCCCAGCGTTCCCTTGTGTCATATTCTAGCCTCCATAGCCTTGTGGCAGCACTGCCAGACTGCATAGCATTCATAGCTGGGACAAATATCCTTGCATGTCTACCTTTCACATGTTCTACAGGTGCACCAGATATCACACCAGTTTCAACCTGTTCATAGTCAATAAGAAGACAATGGAATGTCTGGATGACACATCTTGAGTGATCACTGGCATTCTTTTACAACTAAGCAATGTCATACATATTATTATTTATTATGAACAATACCCAAGAAGAAAAATGCTTAAGTGACATATTATGTTAAGTTCTTAAGTATTATTCAATAAGGTATTCCTAGGAAAAACTGAAGTTTATTCTGACAACATCAAGAGTCAATTTAAAATATGACAAAATCAAGTACAGTAATTAAGGAAGGATCTTTCAGGTAAAGAAAGTCATGTGAGTGTAAAGGTTTGGTATAAGTACATGTGTCAAACATGCATCAGAACTTCAATTTCTTACATTTTCTTCCACTTCTATAAGAGCACTGCCACTTTTTTTGTCTATTACTTCAACAGCATAAACATCGTCATCACTTGCTTGTAACACTCGACTTCCACAAAGATTTCTGCAATGTAGAAATATTTTATACCTTTAACTGGGAATTGAACAGATAATTAAGAATGGTTAACAGCAACAAATTCAATTTTTTTCAGTCAGACAAGAAAGATGCACAGACGAAAAGACTAGGGTCATCACTGTGGAACAAGATGGAGATCATGTCTTCTAATAATGGTTTGCTTCTGTTTTCATCATTGTGTTCCAGTATTGATATTTTGTTGTTTTTTTTTAAATAAATAGTTATTTGGCAGGGAGATACTGTGGTGTGCCTAAATTGCGCAATATACTGCAATACAGTGCAGTAAACTGCAATACAGATTTCGTAAGTAGTATCAATGCTTTTAATTACCTCGTAACATATTTCTCTTTTATATTTATTGTATTTGGAATGACCGTTTCCCCTTATTACTTGTGACTGGACTTATTTATTTAAAGTGTAATGCACTGTGTTGCACTGTACTGCAGTGTACTGTCCAATTTAGGGGCACCCCTGCAATAGTGCCAAAGAATGAATGGTTCGGACTTGTTGTCAATGTGAACATTTCACTTTATTCCATTAATACCATATATTTATAGTAGTGTCAATATAAATAGTACTTATGCAATATACCACAAAACTTATAAATGTAAATCCTTGTTTTTGAGGAGTTTTTAAGATGTAAATTGTGATATGTTTAAACTCTGAATTGCAAATTACATCGCAAAATATATGGCAAGTAGTAAACTGCCACACTAATTTTTATTTGAAAAGCTGAATACAGACATTGATCAGTCGCACAGTGATCAGTGCCACAGTCGAACTATCCAGGGGCAGTGAAGTACAAAACCGAGACCCGCCTGCTAACCGCTCGCCTATGACATCCCAATTTTAAATCTCTCTTTTAGCGCCTTGTAAATAAACTAATACAAGCCATTTACTAAATAAGCTGTAAATCAAAGAATAAATTCCGGTCACGTGATTTTCCCATGTTGCAGTCTTAGAGAACTTTGATTAGAAGACGTTTTGAAGTTTTGCCTCGACAAAATGTCAAAAATTTCAGATAAGTTTGTAATTTATGCCGTGTACAGTTCACTTTTGGTGAAATTTTACAGTTAAAAAACTTCATTATCTTTGTTGCTTGTAGGAGTGTTTTAAAAATTCCAAAAGAATTCATCTGTTTTTTGCATAACCTTTCAGAAGATATAAGTATTATAATTTTCTGATCAGTTTGAAAATTTTTCTGATCTATCTAGTTACAGGGTGGGGGGGTATACTACAAAAGTACCAGATCTAATACTACAAGTACCTGTATTCAGAAAAGTGTTGTAAACCAAATACTTGTAAATTGCATGCTGTGCTGGTACAAAGAAGTTTTAAAGAACAAGCATGAGCACAAGACATTGAAATTCATATCTAACAATTTTACCTTATTGACGAATTATTCCGCAAAACAGAACCAGCTCGTCTCAAGAGGAGGGAAGCCATTTTACATCCGTGGAGCTAAATAGAAAAACTGGACTAAAGTTACATGTCATACATAGTTTTATTCACTTACAACAGATTACATGTTGCAAAAAACGTCATCAAAAAAGCAAAAAGGAGTTTTAATATTTATATGTTAACATATTTAGAATTTGGCTTCCATTCCATTAATGTTGCTCAATTCTTTGTTTTTGGGGAATTGTTTTGATGACCTCTTGATGACCTCATAGTTGAAACTTTTGCGCTTGCGCGAATGAGTAACACATTTCCGGGTGGGATAGCGACCGGGGTGAAGTGATTCATTTTGCCAGCTTACTTCTTTAGTGGATCTCCAAAATATACTAAGCACTTATTGAATAATTTTCTTTCGGGTTGGTTTGTTATCTGGAACTGATGAGAAAGGCAGGATGGTAAGATTTTAAATAGAGTTATATCTTTTGTGTGAAATATTTGTCCAGGGCAGGTGCCATATTTTTTTTTCATTTTGAACCATTACTTCCGCAAATAGAATTGTAGGAAATGGACAGGTACGTCTCATTATAATTGACATTTCCCTATAATTGACAACTTGTTTATTTTATGTAGGCAAAGGTTATTTTAAAAACCGTAGCGTCTTATTAAAATTTCCTGGCTGTGTCAGTGGAAAAGATAGACGAGCTTTTTTTTTTTATTCAGATTCTAGTTGATTGTAAGCACGTTTTGCCCAGACTGTTGAATTGTAAAGACATTGATCAAAGTAATAGCAGTTTAGAAAAAAAAACATCAAAAATGAAAGACTTCCATGTATAAGAAATATGTATTGCATAAATAATAAATGGTCAATAGTTTAATCATTGAATGAGCTCAGTTTTTAAGGGGTCTGCCATATAGATAAACGTCCTAATAAATATTCGTCGCGATTGATACGTCTCTATACATACACGTCTCAATAGATTTATGTCTTGTTAAATTTACGCTACGATAGATCCACCAACAGATTCCTATAAACCCACATATCTTTAGATCCAAGTACCACTAGATCCATATATCTGGCATCGTAATTGGCTAAAATGCCGTTATCAACTTGAGATACAGGTATGAGGCTTTCGAGTGATAGTCTGACTGCGAGTACTGACCCACTCAGTGATCTGACTTAATTACAACCTGATATTTATTACCTATTATTTTTTAGGTATGGTAAGCTCTAAAAAAGGTGCAAATTCCCTTAGAAAACGAATTTCACCTGGGTAAACTGCATTTTTCCTGGACTTAATTTTACCAGTTCATTTTTGTTCGAAATCGTCAATCCGAACTATCCAAAAGCACTTTTGCAATTAGTTTGAGTATCTAACGATGTCTTAAGATACTATGATCAGAATTCAACAGAAGTAGGCCTAAACGGATTCAAGTTCAGTCCGAATGCGGTGTCAAAAGAGGAAAACTGACTTCCCACGCCTGTGAAAAAAGAAATGAAAAGCGAGAGAGAGAAAAGCAAAGAGTATTGTTTTCATTTGGTGGTTAATCAGCTAGCAGGACCAAGCTGAAAGGACCTAAAATACACACATGTAGAGACATGTTTACTTGTACTGCAAACTTACTCTCAGTCACCTTGCAAGCTCTGCAACTTTGGGAACAACGCAGTAATGTGGTCAGTAAAACTACCCAAAGTATGCAGGCGCAAACCCAACGCCTATTGACGTTATTTTTGCTCATCTAGCCGTAACTTCTACAGGTGTTCAAACAAGACATCCGATCTAGTAGTATAATAAATTGCTGAAGGGATTAATATGTGCACTGTCATTTTAAAAAAGTGCATTTCATGTACTGAGTAGTATACCAACCATTTTGGGCAATAGTATACTTGTAATGGATCTATTGGTATTTGGATCTAAAAATATGTGGATCTATAGGTATGCGGATTTATAAGTATGTGGGTTAATGTAGACGTCGTATCTATAGGAACGCAAATATATAGGACAGTGGTAAAAAATCAGATCTATCGGTATTTAAATCTAAAAAGAGGTTTTTTCAGTTTTTCCTTTTTATATGTCCACGTTTTTAACGGGGTAGACTTTTTTAAACCGTATTACTTTTTTGTTGTAAATCTGGGTGACCTTTTCATTCTCACTTAAATATGTGTAAAATTTCTCATTAATTTAGCATTTAGTCAGAATCATGACAGATTAAACTTGATCAGATTATTTTTCAAAATTGAATGGATGGGATACATTTTTTTTAAATTTGAAATTAATTAGACAATACCTCTCAACAGCCTGCTTCAATTCTCATATCAGACCAAGTGAAAGTTAATTAAGAAATAATGATGATTTTTTCAATCCAATTTCTTTCTTTATTTCAGCCTTACCACTGGCAGAGTCACAATGTCAAGCAGAGTGGAGTGGATGATATGGTGTTGCTGCAGAAGATTGCAGAGGTGGCCATAGTTGACAACTTAAAGAAGAGATTTATGGATGATTGCATTTATGTATCCTTGTCAAAAGAATGTTCATTTAAGAATGTCTGAGTGTGGTGGTAGTGATAGGGGGAGGGGGAGGACACAGGGATATTATTTTATAGAATAAATTAACTACATCTTCTTATTTTCTAATCCTCCCATGCAAAAAAAGTGTACCCAGCTCTCCCTCTCTCCCTCCCTCTCTCTCTCTCTCTCTCTCTCTCTCTCTCTTTCTCTCTCTCTCTCTCTCTCTCTCTCTCTCTCTCTCTCCTTTTTGAATAATTATGTGTAAGTATTTGACGTCAAAGGAAGCATTTTCTTTAACCAAATACAGACATACATAGGCCCAGTGCTTATCTCTGTCAATCCATTCAAGCAACTCCCTGCTCTTTATGGAGATAAGATGATAGATCAGTATCAAGGGGCTGTAAGTATCTATAGGTTTACTGTAATATCTAGCATGTGTTATCATTGTCAGTAATAAGATATGTGATTTAATTCAAAAACTTTTTGTAAAGGGTGATGTTTTAATAAATTTAAATAAGTTATGTCTTAATTCAACACTGCTTTTGGCAAAAGGATTTTTTGTTGAAGTCAGGTTTTTATGAGCATGCTGATATAGAATGTTGCTAACAGATGTCACATGATAAGCTATTATCAGGTAATACATTCAAAGATTTTTGTTATTCATTCGACGACAATTGCTTGTTTACTATATTTGAGCTGTTGTTTTAATTTTTTTCCTGAGCTACAATAAATGGCTTTCCTATCAAGTTTAAACACTCATAGCATATCAGGTGATAAATAACTTGAGGAAACTGGGTCATATTTTACAGAAGTATTCTTTGTATATCACAAATTATCAGGTAACATTATCCAAAGTGGGGACGTAAAGTGTAAGAAGGAAGTTGAGTATTCTTAGACCAATATGCTTGCATTGTGTGCACTTCTAATCAACAGACCTCAAAAACTTGACACGCTTTTCTTGATAACATGTACACATATAGTTAGAAAGGTTTCTCTTTGTTTTTCACTTTTCCAATTAGAACATGTTTACAAGATATGATTGCAAATAAAAATAAGAATGATGATAAATGATAAAATAATTATTGTAATAACTTTCCAGTTTTACCACCAAATTTCTCTTTCAGGCAGCCTATGAAAACCCTCCACATGTTTATGCACTCTCAGATAATATGTACAGAAACATGATGATTGACTTGGAAAACCAATGTGTTATCATCAGGTAGGATTTTGACAAAAATTATGTTTAAGATTTTAGAATTTTTTCCCCAGTGAAGGCACCTATGTCGTACAATAATATTTCACTTGTTTTACTAATTTCTTTGTCTTGTTATGCCTGATTACATAGAGATTATGGACATTATGGGTTGTTCCAAATACACATTAATTATTTCATGTAATGTATTTTTTTAATTTTTAATTTTATTATTATTATTATTATTTATTTATTTTTTATTTTTTTTGATAAACTTTGTTTTATCTATATGGTCAGCAAACAGTATGATATAATAGAAAATAAAATCTTCATGGCATAGTTCATCTGTAATGCTGTGTAGTAATACAGTTTAAAGTTGATTGTGTTTATATTTAGTGGCGAGTCGGGTGCAGGGAAAACTGTGGCGGCCAAATACATCATGGCTTACATTGCCAAGGTGTCTGGAGGCGGCCCTAAAGTAAAGGTAAGTGATACAGATGTGCCTGTCTGGGGTTTTAGTGTGTTCTAATTTTACTTCCTGGTGCTATTTCAGCTTTTGTAGCTTGTAAACAATGAGTTGTGGTATTGTTTGTAGTCATATGTAGGTTAATTCTATTGCCTTTTTCTCTTTTGGTTTTATGTATTTAAGTGATTAATTTGTACATGTGCTTATTTGTTTCTTTCATACTGCCATTTTTTTGTTTTGTTTTGTTTTCTGTGCTGATATTTCTTCTTATATATTTAATCTTTTCATCTTTCTCTGCTTGTTTGTGTATTGGGCATGTAGTTTGATATATTGCTCATCTTTTGTTTCTGCTCATCTCATTAAGTAGTTTTGTGTGTTTCTTTGCATGTAAACAAGTTGCAGTTTCTTTATTTTCCCATCACTAATAGCATGCTGGCAGGGCTACATCATTTGCGGTATGTTTGGTTTTGGTAAAACTACCCTTGCTTAATGTTTTAATACTCTCTAGGGGTGCCTGACTCCTGTTTTCTTTCTTATTTCTGTGTTGATTCTACTAAGACTTTTGTTTACTCTTCACAGTAAAAGATAATTGAAGTGTTTTGTGAACACTAGTATCTAACTAAGTGAAGTAACTTAAAGCACTTGAATGTCTTTAATTAGTATCTAAAAAAACACCTCAGTGGTTAAAAGTATGCTCCTTAACACCTAACTATAGGGAGTGCATTTTGTATTATGTTGATAACAGGGGTTTTATGACTAATTGGTTTATCTCTATTTGATTTTTACCTAATATTTGTTTTATCTTTTTAAAAATTCTCAGAAAAACACAGGCTTGATCAAACTTTGGATATTTTGCTCTTTTTAAGCATTTTTCAGAAATTGATAAATCATCATTTATGAAAGCATATCCTGCATATTTTTGTTACTTTAGCACGTAAAAGACATCATCCTGGAATCTAACCCACTTTTAGAAGCATTTGGAAATGCTAAGACAGTGAGAAACAACAATTCCAGCAGATTTGTAAGTATTCAGACTGACACATGTTAGTTCTTTAAATTATGTGAAGTAGGAATTTAAAAAAAGAATCACCTTTGTAAAATTTTGAATATTGATCTGAATATATTTTTAAAAGAATAGCATGTTAAATTAGAGACTAGCTGATGGATTTGAATAATACTTCAGTAATCTTATTTCAGGGCAAATATGTAGAAATACAGTTCAGTCGGGGTGGAGAACCAGATGGAGGAAAGATCTCACAGTTTCTATTGGAAAAGGTTATACTTTACATAAGCACCAAAAATAGTGAATGCTTTTGTGCACTTTAAATTATCTCTTGAAATTATTCCATAAGTAACTGTAAAAAGGATTCTAGTTGAAAGTCCATGTGATTGCAGTTGTGTAAAATAAAACAAAAATTTAACAACATTTTTGATATATATTTACAAGGGTATTTTGAATTTTCCAGTCTCGAGTTGTCAGTCAGAATACGAACGAGAGGAACTTCCATATATTCTATCAGATCTGTGCGGGAGCAGATCCAGAACTACAAGGTACTGATTAAGTGGTGAATAGAAACATTTAATTAAGCATAGCTGGCATGTGATTTTTGAATACAGATGGAAATGAAACAAATATGGAACATATTTTGTGAATGGTGCCATCTCTCTCTCTCTCTCTCTCTCTCTCTCTCTCTCTCTCTCTCTCTCTCTCTCTCTCTCAGTATGTTTGAAAAGTTCTATATTATTGGTATATTCTAACCAAAATAACTTATATGTTTTGGGTGGGAGGAAGGCCAGTACATCTTATTTTATACTTATATTATTGCTCTCATTTCAGAATCTCTGGGAATTACCAATCCAGATTATTATTTTTACTTGAACCAAAGTGGCACATACCAAGTGGATGGCACTGATGACAAGAAAGAATTTGAAGATACAATGGTAAGAGTTTTTTATATATCAATTAATCTGTCCATCTTTATATAATCAAGAGCAGTAGATTTTGGATGTAGATTGGTTGGTAACAAATTCTTCTTTGCAAGTAGATGGAGTATATCAGCAATGACTATAAAAAAAAGAAAAGAAATCACTTGACATTTGTGCACCTTTTTATCATTTTTTTTGTTATGTGTTTATAATGCTGTTTTTATGTATTGGATTGAATTAAGAATATTGCAAGGTTTTATACTTGATCTTTTGAAACTAGATATGAATTCATTTTAGCAGTTATTGAATGCAGAATGTGATTTAAAAAATTGATACATAAAGTGGAATTTTGGGATGGATATAGTGTCAGTGGTAATGAAGTACAAACATTTTTCCTTGTCTCTATATGTTTTCACACTACACTCTGCAGGCTTTTAAAGATACCAGGGTAAGTCTGACAGCTGTTGCATGTTGTGTTAACAGGATATGATGTGTACAGTCAGCTGCACTGCTCTGCATTTTGGATTCCTGGTACTGAATGTTAGAGAGAATTTAGAAATCATTCTTGACATTAAAAAGCACATTGCTGTTTATTGCCTTTTATGTGACTAGGTATTAGTTAATAACATTCATTCAGAACACTTCCCTTGCTATATTCATGAAATGTTATTTTGGCTGATTATTAAGTGATGACTGTTGACTTTTTAAAAAATTTTTTCATTAAGAAAGGATTGCCAACACCCTCCTTCTTAAATAAAAAGGGATTTATGATTTACCTAGTTTCCGGAATTTGATGATGCCCAGAATGTATTCTGCTGCTTTAATCCCAAAACAGCCATCGAAATGAAGTGATTCTCATAAAAATATAGCTTACTTCACATTTTACTTATTTTGTTGCAGTTGTTTTGTTTTTGCACATCAGTTTTCAGTGGACTGAGTGGTTGCTTTGTTTCTCAATTATTTTTTGCTGTTTTCTTACAATGTGTCCTTTAATGTGAACAGATGCATTGACTGTGATGCTTGGTTGGTTAAAGTAAGCTGAAGCAGAAATAAAACACAATGTGAAGGCTTTGTTCCCAGCACACAGCATGTTCATGCATCTCAGAGGTCTGGTGGTAAACACAAATGTTACCTTATTTCCCATTTTATTACAGTTCACTTATAGGAATGCCATTTCTTCAGACATTTATAAAGTAGGATACTCTACTATAATTATGAAGCTCTGGAGATCAGTGTTTGCTGTACTCTATATCAGATTTGTCAAAATTTTAGTGGGGTTGTGTTCCTTCTAGTTGTGTCATTCTTAATGCTAGACAGCTATGTCATAGGTTTGAGTGGCAGTGCTTGCTGTTAGCAGATGGAGTCATATATCATTTATAATTGCAATACATTCAATTTCAGACTTTTGTGTTGAATGTAAAACAAAGTATCAGACACCTCCGTGATAACTAGTAATGTATCCAGTGTGCAAACTGTGCTCTAATGTCACCAGATTATATGATCGGTTGTTTGTGTTTCTTCCAGCATGCTATGTCAGTGATGGGGATGGATGAAGCCACACAAGTAAATGTGTTGACCATAGTGGCAGGCATTTTGCATCTTGGCAACATCAGCTTTGTTGAGGATGGAAACTATGCAAAAGTGGAGAATACTGAATGTAAGAGGCTGTATAAAGACTTACTTAAAATGACTGTAGAGCTTTTTTGGCATTGACATAATCTTGTAATTGAGCGAAAAATTTCAAGTATGGCCAAATTAAAACTTGTAATTTGTGTACCATCATTTCATCTTTGATGACACTGGATAAATATAATCAAAATTGAGCTTTATGAATACTTAGTTTTTATATAAGAAATTAATCCTAAAATTTACCTAAAATTTAAGGTTTATAGATATGCTTTCATGTCAGGGCTCTCCCCAATATTGCCTTTGCAGGGGGTCTAATTGGAAAAGATTGAATGTGTACACAATTTCCCAAGAACCTAACTACAATAAACATGCAGTGTGTCTGAAGGGGGTATTGTCGTGGATTTTGATAAATGTGATTAGGATTTCTGAAAAAGTTTCATATTTTGTCAGATAATAATGGTACATCTATGTTGGAATCACGATATCATATTCAATTCAGTCCTGGATTTCCCGGCCTATCTTCTTGGTGTGGACAAAGAAGACCTGAACACCAAGCTGAAGAGCCGTGTGATGGACAGCAAGTGGGGAGGAAAGACAGAAACCATCAACCTGACCCTGAACACAGACCAGGCTGCCTACACCAGAGATGCACTGGCGAAAGCACTATATACAAGGCTGTTTGATTATTTAGTAGCGGTAAGCATTCTTCCTGCTGCCTCTTGTATATCAACACAAAAACTGATACAGAAACTGATTCTGTGCACACAATAGTGTTGCCAATTTTATCCAAATGCTGATTTCAATTTCCTTTGGCTAAAAAAATGTAGAAATTATTTTAGGACTATATAAATATTTGATTTAACCATTTTCTTTTAACACCGAAGTGCTAAAAAATAAGTTATTTGACTAAGAAAGAAATTGTACTAGAATGATGCCAGTTATGGCAATCTTATCTATTTGTGCTTAAGATGTAGAGTGTGATTTTAGATGTAGAAGAGGCATTGGTGCCATTTCTTATCTATTATTTATGCTGCATTATACACATTGATAATGTGGCGTAGTGACTGAACTGTGTGCATACCATGTTTCTTCAATACAGAGAACAAATGGAGCCATGGTGAAACAAAGAGAAGAAATAAACATTGGCATCCTGGACATTTATGGATTTGAAATCTTTCAAAAGAATGGTTTTGAACAGTTTTGCATCAACTATGTCAATGAAAAACTGCAGCAGATTTTCATAGAGTTGACTCTCAAGGCAGAGCAGGTATGTACACACAAAAAAATTAAATATAATATATAAAGATGAAATAATAGTTGCTGTATATATTTTATGTCACATTTTATGACATTTTACAAACTTTTCATAAGGATTTTGGTATCATTTTTGTATGTTAAATCAACAAATGTGAAATTGAAAATCGCTATTTTGAATTACTATTTATAGGAGGAATACATCCAGGAAGGCATAAAATGGAATTCCATTGACTACTTCAACAACAAGATAGTGTGTGATCTCATTGAGTCAAAGAGTCCCCCTGGTATTATGTGTGTACTGGATGATGTCTGTGCTACATTGCATGCTGTCAGTGAGGGAGCAGATATGAAGCTATTACAGGTAAATTTGGTCTAATTTGAATCTTTTGAAATTGTTTTTGCAGCATCTCTACTTTAGAGTGTTCAGTGAAAACTTATCAGCCAGTCAACTGAATCCTTATTTTAGTTAAAAGGATTTTCCCAAAGTTTCATGTGTTTGTCATGATACTGTATTGAGTTTTTTATGAGTGAGTTTGGAAGTTGTTTTTCCTGTTGATATCATATGTGTTTTTTTTTTCCAGAAACTTCAAGCAGCAGTAGGAACACATCAGCATTACCAAGGCTCCAATATAGGATTTGTAATACACCACTATGCTGGCAAGGTAGGATTGCTTGCTATCCAGAAACAGATAAGGCATTAAATGTGGAATCCTGTGGTTATTATGATACGAATGCCAGTCACACAACCTCATTTATAAATTATAATTGTTAGCATTTTTGTAACTGGATTTTACACATTTGAAACAGTGGTAAACTTTTTTTAAAGAGATTGAAATATGTATCTTTACATTTGTCTTTGTGTGGGTTTAATCAGCTGCAGCAGTTTTATTAACACAAGATATCACAACAGAGGTAGTAATATTGTCTTATGATATTTTTTTCCTTACAAGGTTTCCTATGATGCAGAAGGTTTCTGTGAGCGTAACAGAGATGTCCTCTTCCCAGATTTGATACAGCTGATGCAAAGCAGTGAAAAGTGCGTATACCATGTAGAGAAAACGGACCGTATTGCAATGCATTTAGTAATCTTGAAATATCTTAGTCTGAACACCGGAATTTTGTTTAATTCTTCGAAATCTGTTTAAAGCAAATTATCTTACAGTGTCCAATTTGCTTGGTTTTTCAGTGAATTCATTGCCAGTCTTTTCCCAGAGGATGTTAGCTCTACCACACGTGGCCGTCCTACTACTGCAGGCAGTAAAATCAGGGTGAATGTTTACCTTGCTTGAAGAAATCTAGTTCGTGTAATGCACATTGGAAAAAAAATAATAACTTGTGAATGAGCACACACAAACACACACACACACTTACACACATGCTCTCACGCACACACTTGATGCTGAGAAGTCTCTAGATAAGGTTCTAATTATAACAATAATTATTGAGATATTGTTTTAACTGTTTTGTATCCTAGACTCAGGCCAACCGTCTTGTAGATACTTTGATGAAGTGCACCCCACATTATATAAGGTGTATCAAACCAAATGAAACCAAGAGAGCACATGACTGGGAAGACAGCAGGTATTGATAAGTTTTTTTTAATTAATTCAATTACCACCCAAATTTTTGTGATATTTATGTATAGGAATAGAATTTATACATCACTTAAGTGTTTTACCAATATGCTGTTAAATTTTATATGTTTTTTTTTTTTTTTAAGCTGAAGAAAGTGCTGGTTTATAGATTTAATAAAATATTTCATTTTCAGTATTATTAAAATTGTTTTAGGTGTAGCAAAGCCAAGTTGTATAAAGACTGTTTTTCACTATTTTAGGGTGAAGCATCAAGTGGAATACCTTGGTCTCAAGGAGAATATTAGAGTCAGAAGAGCAGGGTTTGCATATAGAAGACCATTTGGGAAGTTCCTCAAAAGGTATGTTTACCCATTTAAAGGTTTTTGTTTCAGTGCCAGATTAAAATCTAAATTTATTAATTTCTAGCATTTGAAATATTGTTTGTGTTAAGGTGAACAGTAATTTGAAAAATGAGTGTAAAGGTTGACATCCATTCATTGTGTTGTGCTGCTTGAATCCTAACAATCCTCCCAGTGATTTTTGCTTCATTATATATTCAGTCCAAGTGTTACTGTTGTTTTGTCAATAAATTATTGTGAAAAAACTAATCTAACAGAGAATGAGTTAGTCAAGATATTTTGTCCTTCTTGAATTGAATATGAACATTTGGTGAATTGATGCCTCTGTGGCCCTTATAAAATGCATGTAGCAAAACTGATGAATCTTTAACAGAATAAAGAAGGGAAAATACAGAAAAAGTCATTTTGGAGTGGAGGCTAGCAGAGTTTACGTAAACATTAAAGAATGCTCATTCTTCCCTAAAGTATTCCAGAAACAAATATAAAACTTGGCAGTATATTCATGACCATCTCTGTAGTTTGTGTGACCTTAGTGATGCCTAGCATGTCCCAGTAGGCACTAATGCTGCTTGTCTGCGTGTTCAGGTATGCTATTCTAACCCCTGAGACCTGGCCCCACTGGAGAGGAGATGACAAGAAAGGCGTGGCTCACCTGATGAACTCGGTCCATATGGACTCAGATCAGTGGCAGCTGGGGAAAACCAAAGTCTTCATCAAGAACCCAGAATCGGTATTGAATTAATTCTGAAATGGTTATTGTGTTATATCTGATTTAGCATGGCTGTTCATACCCGGTTAAGCTTGCACCTTCATTTGTTCTATATTTTTTAGCCTTATTCACTTGTTAGTGAACACACACATATACATAAAGATATGAGCTTGGTACATAATTATTCAAATTAATGACATTGCGCTATATGAAACTGCCCCCCATATGCTACAAATATGGATTTCTGCTGAATCATTTATTACCTGCATCCCATGTATTACAGCACATGCTTTTAGTTTACCCTTACAATAGTCTTGTATTTTGTTATATCCTTGCCATCATTTCTTAAAAATTTGCATTAAGATGCTTAACAGTATTCATAGAAAATAGAGCAACTCACTTTTTTTTTTCAAAAATGGATACAGATTTTGAAGTAATTGTCTGTGAAAGGAGACTTTGTCATATACTATTTTTGTTGTTTTCATAAAGTTGTTCTTGCTGGAGGAAGTTAGGGAAAGAAAATATGATGGCTATGCTAGAACTATCCAGAAGGCATTCAGAAAATACAATGCCAGGAAATTCTATGTCAAACTCCGAGAACAGGGTAAAGTTATTTCTTGTTTAAAAGTCTTATAATCTGTCATTATTTTTTTCATTTAATGTTTGATTGTACCCAACTATATAAAATTAAGAAAATTGAGAAGTGCTTTCAGAGATTTATTTTAATGAGTATCAAGAACAGTGGGACAGGGAGGGGTGTGCTGTTCTCTTCATGCCTGCATGCACGTGTATGTTAAGTCTAGTCAAGCAACATGGACATCCTTTCTATAATCTTACATCTTCATAAAATCATACATCTATCAGTGCCTAGGGTTTGCTTGTTTTTGTTCATGTATTTAACCAGTTTCCCCCTCTATTTTAGCCTCAGATCTGTTGCTTAATAAAAAAGAGAGGAGACAGTACAGTCTCAATCGCAACTTTGTGGGGGATTACATAGGGCTGGATGACAACCCGGCCCTCAGAGCTCTGGTTGGCAAGAGAGAAAGGATAGAGTTTGCCAATACTGTGACCAAATATGATAGGAGGTTCAAGGTAAATATTGTATGAAATATACTGGAAGGTGAATTTAATTAATTTTCTAGTTATCATTATTATTATTATTATTATATTTTATTTTATTTTTTATTATTATTATTTTTTTTTGCTTAAAATATTCATTTATTCTTTTGGAATTTTAGACAGCCAAAAGAGATTTGATAGTCACATCAAAAGGAGTTTACCTAGTAGGCAGAGAAATGGTGAGTTCAGTCAGATATAAGAAAGCACCCATTTGACAAAATGACATTTCAACTTTTAAATCTATAAATTTATCCTAGCCAAGTTGGATATGCTTACTTTTTGTAAACTATAACTTTCTTTCTCAATGACAAAAAATCCACAAGAATATTAATATTATCTCCTTATAATTGCAAAGAAAAAATGATTTTGTCATTATTTCCTGTTAGTTAAATAATATTTCTTAGATAATTTCTTTTCAAATTAATTTTTTTTTAACCAGATGAAGAAAGGGCCAGAGAAGGGCCAGCTGAAAGAGGTCGTCAAGCGGCCATTGGAAATGGAAATGATAACTGGAGTGGCACTGAGGTATTGTGTCCCTTTTTTTTGTCCATTTGACTTGAATTAATGTGTTGCTCAGTGGGAAAAATATGAAGTTAAATAACAAACTGACTGTTTTCCTGTTGTTCTCTTTAAATAGTAGAAAATGTGATTTTAACACTTGTAGCAATGCAGTGTAAAGAAAGTAAAATAATTTTACAGTAGATTTTTATGCTTAATTTTTAAAATTTTATGATAAACTTTATATTGCAACTTTATTTAAGAACTTGACTTTATGTCTAGCCTTTTACCTTAGACATTTAACAGAACTCATGCTAAACATTATATTTTCATAAATTGGGGATAAAGTTGGTGGAACAGGAATATTATTATTATTATTATTATTATTTTATTTTATTTTTTTTTTCATAAGTTTCAATTAATTTTGATGCTTCAGTTCAGTCTGATTATGATGTCAGTACTAAATACTGAAAAAGTGAAATGCAACATGTTGAATTGTGTTATGATTTTGACAGGAGCAATAAGGGCATTTCTTTTAGACAAATAGTAGGTGACTTTTTGACTTAATTATATCAGATAACAAATAATAATGATAATAATAATGTCTTTATGGTTTCGCTTTAATTTTTAATTCTTAATTCCTATAAAAAATTTGAGCAACAAAATAATTGATTTATTTCTAAATGTTCATTTGGTACAGTTTATTAGTAAGGATAATTACTGTTTAGAATACTTACAATATCATAGCAATTGTCATTTATTGTTGATTATATGATAGGCAAAGGAATTTTTGGCTACATATTTATTCGTTTAATGTTTTCATGCCTCTAAAGTTAAAATTTTATAACATTGATTTTTGTAATTTTAACCTAATATTAGCTCCTTCAGACTTCTGCTAAGTACTGTTTTTCTTTTGCCATGGAAATCATGAAAAACCTGCAGGCAGCTGAGTCTAAAGGCTTTCTTGAATTGTACTTTTGTCAGAATTGTTTACAATCAAGTGTTATGTTACAGAATAGAATTAAACATTGGCAGTGACTTATTGTTCCAAAGTCAACAATGTAACCTTTGTATGGCAACTTTTGCTGGCCATAGTATGGCTGATACTTTCCAACAATTTGTTTGTACACTTGTGAATGCCAATTCATTCCCTGCAGTTACAATAATGACACATTATTCACATGAAGGAGTCATAATTAACCTTAGCTTTATGCAGAATATCAGTAAAGGAACTGTAGGTTGTAGTGCTTATGGCTGTTGAATTAACACAAGGATACAATTTGAGTAGTACAATTGTATATTTGGGTATCACATTACAAGGAAACCAAACCACTAGTTTATTAGTAATGAAGCAAACAGAAGCAGACTCAGTTTTGAAAGTTCTGTATAACAAGAATGGTGTGGAACAAGAATGTTTTGGGATTATGTAGTTGATTACTTGTTAGTTTACCAGTATGATAATAATGACTTCGGGAGTTAAGACTCTTCCACGGTGTGCAGTGTAAGTAAATTATGAATATGGTTTTAAATTTAAGTTAAGATTTAGTTGAATAGAGACTTCAGAGATGCTCATGGAAAACTCATTGATGCTTTGTAGTTTAAGTATTATTATTTAAAAAAAAGAGTTAAGGGCAGTGACTGGCTACTTTTGCTGCTGAAATTTTTGGTGAAAGTTTCACGCCACAGAATTATGACATGAATTTTGTAAGAAAAAGTGGCCTTTTGGTTTCTATTATTCTTGTGCTAATTTTTTATTTTTTATTTTTTTATTTTCAGCACAATGCAAGATGACTTCTTTATCATCCATGTTCAAAATGATTACAGCAGTTTACTAGAATCAGTCTTTAAAACAGAGTTTCTGACTGCTTTGTCTAAAAAATACAAGGAGAGGACACACAAAGAGTTGAAAGTAGAGTTTAGTGATACGTGAGTATCAAATTAAATTCATGTAGCCATTTTACAATAATACTCTCTATGAGTCACCAGAGTTTGTAGTTGTGCCAAAATAGAAATATATTTAGTTTAAAGTTCACTTGAACACTAACAAATTGAAATAATTTCGGATTGTATTAACTTTAATAAGTAATGCAGTTGTGCAATGGCATCTATGTGATCCACTGTCAAAAGTAATGCATGATAGAAATATACATGTACATTTTATGTGTAAAGCAAATTATTTTATTAGTCATGTTTTTTTTTAAATTCAGAACCTGAATAGATATGTTAAACATGAAGGAACTTCAGCAACTTGAAAAGGAAATGACCATAATTTCAATACTGTTTAGAAAATGAAGATATGTATTATTTTAGGTTAGAATTTCCTGTCAAAAAGGAAGGATGGGGTGGTGGTGGAAAAAGAACTGTGAAGTTTGTGAAAGGAAATGGCAATGCTGCGCTGCTTAAACCCTCAGGGAAAGTTCTCACAGTATCAATTGGACAGGGACTTCCAAAGAACTCCAGTAAGAACTGATAATTATGTTTGAATTTTATTCATTTTAAAGTTTGTATGAAACCTAAGCAAAAATATCAGTCAGATACTAAGGACTATGAAAGAGGATTCTCCTACCTGCCACTGTCAGTTAGTCAAAATGAATTTGTCTTTTATTCAGTTGTCTGATACAACAATGTAACAAAATGTAAGAAGTAAATGAGCAGAAATGTTCATTAACTTGGTAGTTGGATCATAAATGAAAACATCATCTCACATCAGTCTGATGAAGCCGTATGTCCAGATTGGTCATAAGCTTACAGTATGAAAGTTGTTGTGTTGGATAATTTTCATTTAATGTAAGATGTAATTTGAAAAAAAAAACAGTTATTGTAATTATTGTTTGTTTGAATCCAGGGCCAGGCAATGTAAACCTCCCCGTGCAGATGACAGGAGGTAGGGCCAACTACCGTCCAGCTGGTCCAGGCCGGGCAGCTCCTCCCCCTCCCTCCAGCCATCCCCCTAGCAGACCAGCCCCTGGACCTCCAGGTAGACCTACAGTGCAGTCTTCTCATGCTTCTAGGAATACACCTGTGCAACTAAGTCAACCAGCAAGAGCTTCTACCAAGGCAGCCTCCCACCCTCCAAACCTGTTGAAAACTCCAGGCCAAAACCATGGCAGAACTGGTGTTAAAACACAACCAAAATTGATTCCTAAAGTTCAGACCAGAAACAATCAAAAAGATATTTCTTCTGTTCCAAACCCTTCCCCTTCATCATACCCTGTTACAAGCTTTGAGTATAATCCTGTCACACCGCACAGAATCAATTCAACATGCCCTCCTCAACCTCCTCCAAGGAGCCTAGTAGCACAACAGCCCCGTATCTCCACCTCAAGCACAGGTCCTGCCAGATCTGCTGGTAGAAGGCCTGATATGGTTTATAATGTGTAATATCAGTGAAATCAGTTGTGGAAGTAGACTCTAACGTTGTTTGAAAAGTGACCATTACTCTTGAGTCATTTGTACTTTTATCTCCATTGTTCAGTTAAATTGTGTATTTCTAAAATGAAATGGACTTTATAAGCTTAATCACGACATAAAGCACACAGGATGTTTAAAGAACATTAACATTTTTGTACTGGTAACTTTTTATAGTAAATTATATATGTATATATATTTATTGTCATTATGCTGTTAAGACTGATACATGTAGTGCATTTTAACTTCATATGTCCATCTGAAAATAAATGTTTCTAATGCCATTTCTTTTTCTTTTTCTTCCCTTTGCTTTCATGCTTTTACTCTCCATTTCTTCGGGCATTTCACCTCTTTGGCTTCTTTGGTTTTCATGCACCTTTGTGTACTATCTCTTTTTTCTTTGCAACCTAACATTATTTAATTCCGAATATTTTCCTTTAAATGTGTGGCTATTGTCTGACATAACTGCTCGTTTCTTCTACCATTTTACCTGCTAAACCTAACATTATTTAATTCCGAATATTTTCCTTTAAATGTGTGGCTTTTGTCTGACATAACTGCTCGTTTCTTCTACCATTTTACCTGCTAAATGCATGTTTCTGTTCTTTCCTTCAATTCTCATGTGTGATTATACACTCACTCCACCTTTGTTTCATTTTTTTCTCAATAACTCGTATTACTTCTGTACTTTTGTGTTGCTTCTTTTAAATCCCTGCCTGCATGGTGCTCTGTGTTCTTGCTTTGCGTTCTGTCCTGTCAACACCAGGTTATCCACCACCACCAGTGCACAGCAGTAATGGAAACTTGAGGTCTGCCAAGAGGACATCTCGGAGAGTTTCTTCCTCTTCTGACAAGTCTCCGTCCCTGCCCAAAGAGGGAGCACAGAGGCTGGCCAGGCAGATCAACCAGGCAGTGAGGAATAATGATGAAGAATTCATGAAGACACCTGAGGCAGGAGTGGCTGGGTAAGTTGATGCCTCATTGGAGAAGATTGGTTCAGTGTCATTTTGTGCATTTCCTCAAATGTAATGAATTTTACATTAATGATTTTAGTTTTAACAGAGAATATTGAGTGGGAAATGCTAATTAATTCATCAGCAAACAAGAAAAAATAAGAAATGTGTTTCACAGTTCCAAGGTGTGTATTAATGATGATTTCCTATTTTTAGCATTCAGAGATTGAATAGCAGAAGTAAACGCCCTGCCCCAGGAGCCGGTCGGCCCAAGCCGAAACCCAATCCTAAACCTAAACCCTTGCTGCCCGAGTGCAGGTGTCTATATGCTTACGATGCTCAGGACACAGATGAACTAAGCTTCAATGAAGGAGATATTATATCTCTAATAAAAGAAGGTAAATTGTAGTTTAGGGTTAGTTCTTGGGGTGTGGCACCTGCTTGTAAAAGCAAAAGAAGTAAGCAGAATAGGAGTCTTCCAAGATAAACTAAGACTGTCATCACTGCATGAAATCATAGGAGTGTAGAAAATGTGTGATAGAATCTGCTTGAGGGGGAACCTTTTAGTCTGCCATTATCACACTCTCCTCTAAATGGCTTAAGCTTGCTTGATTTTATGCCAAGTCACAAGATTTTGGGCTATCTTGGATGATTCCCTTTAGTTTCCTTTCTGTTAGTTTACCATGGATTACATGTAATGATGTAATTTGACTAAAATATTTAACCTAAAGATAGAGTGGTCTACAGAAGCTAAGTTTTGTACGATTATCTGTCACTCAAGGCATTATACCTGGAACCTAAACTTGCTCTTATTTTAATAGAAGTAAGAGCATATGAAAAATGTAGACAATGTTTTATCAAAGAGCATACGAAAAATGTAGACAGTGTTCAATGTTCCAAAGAAAAAGTAAAGGGCCCCATTTTAACAAGCCTGGTTTCTTTTTCACCAGTCTGAAAAAAAATGATGGCAATTTTATAAGACAAGAAATTCTGTTTTCAAAATGCCTTATATCTTTTGTAGATAAGTATTGCACAAAGAAAGAAATGTAGAAGCTAAAAACCAATGTAAGCTCTATTGGTACTTTTGTGTATCTTGTAGTTTGTGTGTTGTTGCTATAGGTATGTTTGTATAGGATGTTATTCAACAAATAAAATCTATGTTTGTCCTTTATTTCCAGATCCTCAGGGCTGGTGGACAGGACGCCTGCGTGGAAAGGAAGGTCTATTTCCGTCAAATTATGTGGAGAAAATATGAAACAGGCAGAAAGACTGGGAGGTGTTGAAATTCAAATACCTTAAGGTGATAGTGAACAGATTGGTGCCAGTATTCATCACATCAAAGGCTTAGCTGGCCATAGAACTAAAGAAATATATGGATGAATTAGGACATGCAGATTTGTTAAGAGAGCCTCAAAAAAGTATTAAGTTCAACCCAGGTGGTTTATGAGATGAAGAAGATGGCAATCTAAGCATTCAGAGAGATATCCCTAGTTTGTCAGTTATTTAAGTCCACATACATAAGAGTCATCTTAATTGTAAACACTTATTTCATGTTTATTAACAAATGAAACTAGTCCATTTGCAACATTCATTCCAATCATATGTAGCAAAGGTCTCAGATGCCCCAAAGGGAATGTATCAGTATGGTATTCATAGTATATATGTGGATGTGGGGTTTGATAAAGTTTTAATCATAATACGAAAGGATATGATTGAAGTGCTATACCAATCTAAGTGCCATGTAAAAATCTAAAATCCTAAGTGTATGAATTTTGGATGTGGATTTTTTTTTTTTTAGCCTTTAACTGTGCAAGCAAAAATTCTAATATTTAAATATGGTAGCATTTACAGTAGGCAGATGTTGGTAAATAGCTGATTTTTTTTCCACATAGAATAGAACAAGACTGCATACTTTTATGGCTTATGAACTTCTTACATAGCAGTGTCTTTGTACCTGTTACATTAGTTGAAAGAAAATATTCCAAGCATATTTTACCTTGCAGTTTTCTCCTGTGTTTATATGAAAAAGTCTGTAACAGCATTACAGGACCACAGACATTGTTGTTGATGATGCAGCAGTTTGTTAACTTGTTTTCTGCTGACACAATGTTTTGACAAAAATAAGTGATGTATATATATATAAATATATAAAATTATTTGTACTTTATACAGTCTCATTAATATTTTGTAAGCTAAAGACTTGTTATTGCTTTTTAATGAAGTGACTTCAGTTTCATATAGATATGTTATAATATCAGCTTAAAAGCTTATGATGCCAATATATACATACTAGCATTGCTTCAGCATTGAGATGTCCATTTCTCAATATCATGATTCAAATGTGAATGTAAAATCAACACAAAGTGTTCATGTCAGTGATAAGGAACAGAAATAATTGTTTTTCTTTTTTATCAGATAAAAGAGGGTGAGAAACAAATTAGTTAAAATGTGATAATGGCCAAGTTATATATGATATTATTCTAGTGCACATTCCAAGATCCTGGTACACAAATTGTTATACACAGCAACTTTATAGCTCTCTATTTATTTTCCCTTTAATGTAAAAACTTGTAATAAATTAAACAGAGGAGTATTTTGTTTGTAGTTGTTTAAATACTGTTTTATTATTCGAAGCAATACAAGGTCAATACACTATGGGAGGCCGTGATTCTCTGAAAAGTGAATGAGGACATTGGGCCAGACTTACCAAAAAAAAAAAAAAAAAAAANATGAAACCTAAGCAAAAATATCAGTCAGATACAAAGGACTATGAAAGAGGATTCTCCTATCTGCCATAGTCAGTTAGTCAAAACATATCCGTCTTTTATTCAGTTGTCTGATACAACAATGTAAGAAGTAAATGAGCAGAAATGTTCATTAACTTGGTAGTTGGATCATAAATGAAAGCTTCTTCTCACATCAGTCTGATGAAGGCGTATGTCTAGGTTGGTCATAAGCTAACAGTATGAAAGTTGTTGTGTTGGATAATTTTCATTTAATGTAAGATATAATTTGAAAAAAAAAACAGTTATTGTAATTATTGTTTGTTTGAATCCAGGGCCAGGCAATGTAAACCTCCCCGTGCAGATGACAGGAGGTAGGGCCAACTACCGTCCAGCTGGTCCAGGCCGGGCAGCTCCTCCCCCTCCCTCCAGCAACCCCCCTAGCAGACCAGCCCCTGGACCTCCAGGTAGACCTACAGTGCAGTCTTCTCATGCTTCTAGGAATACACCTGTGCAACTAAGTCAACCAGCAAGAGCTTCTACCAAGGCAGCCTCCCACCCTCCAAACCTGTTGAAAACTCCAGGCCAAAACCATGGCAGAACTGGTGTTAAAACACAACCAAAATTGATTCCTAAAGTTCAGGCCAGAAACAATCAAAAAGATATTTCTTCTGTTCCAAACCCTTCTCCTTCATCATACCCTGTTACAAGCTTTGAGTATAATCCTGTCACACCGCACAGAATCAATTCAACATGCCCTCCTCAACCTCCTCCAAGGAGCCTAGCAGCACAACAGCCCCGTATCTCCACCTCAAGCACAGGTCCTGCCAGATCTGCTGGTAGAAGGCCTGATATGGTTTATAATGTGTAATATCAGTGAAGTCAGGTGTGGAAGTAGACTCTAATGTTGTTTGAAAATTAACCTTCACTCTTGAGTCATTTGTACTTTTATCTCCATCGTTCAGATAAATTCTGTATTTCTAAAATGAAATGGACTTTATAAGCTTGATCACAACATGAAGCACATAGGATGTTTTAAGAACATTAACTTTTTGTACTAGTAACTTTTTATAGCAAATTGTATATGTATATATATTTATTGTCATTATGCTGTTAAGACTGATAAATGTAGTGCATTTTAACTTCATATGTCCATCTGAAAATAAATGTTTCTAATGCCATTTTCTTTTTCTCTTTCTTCCCTTTTCTTTCATGCTTTTACTCTCCATTTCTTTGGGCATTTCACCTCTCTGGCTTCTTTGGTTTTCATGCACCTTTGTGTACTATCTCTGTTTTCTTTGCAACCTAACATTATTCAATTCCGAATATTTTGCTTTTAAATGTGTGGCTTTTGTCTGACATAACTGCTCGTTTCTTCTACCATTTTACCTGCTAAACCTAACATTATTTAATTCCGAATATTTTCCTTTAAATGTGTGGCTTTTGTCTGACATAATTGCTCGTTTCTTCTACCATTTTACCTGCTAAATGCATGTTTCTGTTCTTTCCTTCAATTCTCATGTGTGATTATACACTCACTCCACCTTTGTTTCATTTTTTTCTCAATACCTCGTATTACTTCTGTACTTTTGTGTTGCTCTGCATGGTTCTGTTGCTTCCTTTAAATCCCTGCCTGCATGGTGCTCTGTGTTCTTGCTTTGCGTTCTGTCCTGTCAACACCAGGTTATCCACCACCACCAGTGCACAGCAGTAATGGAAACTTGAGGTCTGCCAAGAGGACATCTCGGAGAGTTTCTTCCTCTTCTGACAAGTCTCCGTCCCTGCCCAAAGAGGGAGCACAGAGGCTGGCCAGGCAGATCAACCAGGCAGTGAGGAATAATGATGAAGAATTCATGAAGACACCTGAGGCAGGAGTGGCTGGGTAAGTTGATGCCTCATTGGAGAAGATTGGTTCATTGTCATTTTGTGCATTTCCTCAAATGTAATGAATTTTACATTAATGATTTTAGTTTTAACAGAGAATATTGAGTGGGAAATGCTAATTAATTCATCAAGAAAAAATAAGAAATGTGTTTCACAGTTCCAAGGTGTGTATTAATGATGATTCCCTATTTTTAGCATTCAGAGATTGAATAGCAGAAGTAAACGCCCTGCCCCAGGAGCCGGTCGGCCCAAGCCGAAACCCAATCCTAAACCTAAACCCTTGCTGCCCGAGTGCAGGTGTCTATATGCTTATGATGCTCAGGACACAGATGAACTAAGCTTCAATGAAGGAGATATTATATCTCTAATAAAAGAAGGTAAATTGTAGTTTTGGGTTATTTCTTGGGGTGTCGCACCTGCTTGTAAAAGCAAAAGCAGTAAGCAGAATAGGAGTCTTCCAAGATAAACTAAGACTGTCATCACTGCATGAAATCATAGGAGTGTAGAAAATGTGTGATAGAATCTGCTTGAGGGGGAACCTTTTAGTCTGCCATTATCACACTCTCCTCTAAATGGCTTAAGCTTGCTTGATTTTATGCCAAGTCACAAGATTTTGGGCTATCTTGGATGACTCCCTTTAGTTTCCTTTCTGTTAGTTTACCATGGATTACATGTAATGATGTAATTTGACTAAAATATTTAACCTAAAGATAGAGTGGTTTACAGAAGCTAAGTTTTGTACGATTATCTGTCACTCAAGGCATTATACCTGGAACCTAAACTTGCTCTTATTTTAATAGAAGTAAGAGCATATGAAAAATGTAGACAATGTTTTATCAAAGAGCAAGCGAAAAATGTAGACAGTGTTCAATGTTCCAAAGAAAAATTAAAGGGCCCCATTTTAACAAGCCTGGTTTCTTTTTCACCAGTCTGAAAAAAAATTATGGCAATTTTATAAGACAAGAAATTCTGTTTTCAAAATGCCTTATATCTTTTGTAGATAAGTATTGCACAAAGAAAGAAATGTAGAAGCTAAAAACCAATGTAAGCTCTATTGGTACTTTTGTGTATCTTGTAGTTTGTGTGTTGTTGCTATAGGTATGTTTGTATAGGATGTTATTCAACAAATAAAATCTATGTTTGTCCTTTATTTCCAGATCCTCAGGGCTGGTGGACAGGACGCCTGCGTGGAAAGGAAGGTCTATTTCCGTCAAATTATGTGGAGAAAATATGAAACAGGCAGAAAGACTGGGAGGTGTTGAAATTCTAATACCTTAAGGTGATAGTGAACAGATTGGTGCCAGTATTCATCACATCAAAGGCTTAGCTGGCCATAGAACTAAAGAAATATATGGATGAATTAGGACATACAGATTTGTTAAGAGAGCCTCAAAAAAGTATTAAGTTTAACCCAGGTGGTTTATGAGATGAAGAAGATGGCAATCTAAGCATTCAGAGAGATATCCCTAGTTTGTCAGTTATTTAAGTCCACATACATAAGAGTCATCTTAATTGTAAACACTTATTTCATGTTTATTAACAAATGAAACTAGTCCATTTGCAACATTCATTCCAATCATATGTAGCAAAGGTCTCAGATGCCCCAAAGGGAATGTATCAGTAGGTATTTATAGTATACATGTGGATGTGGGGTTTTGATAAAGACAGTTTTAATCATAATACAAAAGGATATGATTGAAGTGCTATACCAATCTAAGTGCCATGTAAAAATCTAAAATCCTAAGTGCATGAATTTTGGATGTGGATTTTTTTTAGCCTTTAACTGTGCAAGCAAAAATTCTAATACTTTAAATATGGTAGCATTTACAGTAGGCAGATGTTGGTAAATAGCTGAGATATCATTGTAGTCAGAAGGCTTTCTTTTTTTTTTCCACAGAGAATAGAACAAAACTGCATACTTTTATGGCTTATGAACTTCTTACATTGCAGTGTCTTTGTACCTGTTACATTAGTTGAAAGAAGAAATTCCAAGCATATTTTACCTTGCAGTTTTCTCCTGTGTTTATATGAAAAAGTCTGTAACAGCATTACAGGACCACAGACATTGTTGTTGATGATGCAGCAGTTTGTTAACTTGTTTTCTGCTGACACAATGTTTTGACAAAAATAAGTGATGTATATATATATATAAATATATAAAATTATTTGTACTTTATACAGTCTCATTAATATTTTGTAAGCTAAAGACGTGTTATTGCTTTTTAATGAAGTGACTTCAGTTTCATATAGATATGTTATAATATCAGCTTAAAAGCTTATGATGCCAATATATATGTTCAGCATTGCTTCAGCATTGAGATGTCCATTTCTCAATATCATGATTCAAATGTGAATGTAAAATCAACACAAAGTGTTCATGTCAGTGATAAGGAACAGAAATAATTGTTTTTCTTTTTTATCAGATAAAAGAGGGTGAGAAACAAATTAGTTAAAATGTGATAATGGCCAAGTTATATATGATGTTATTCTAGTGCACATTCCAAGATCCTGGTACACAAATTGTTATACACAGCAACTTTATAGCTCTCTATTTATTTTCCCTTTAATGTAAAAACTTGTAATAAATTAAACAGAGGAGTATTTTGTTTGTAGTTGTTTAAATACTTTTATTATTCAAAGCAATACAAGGTCAATACACTATGGGAGGCTGTGATTCTCTGAAAAGTGAATGAGGACATTGGGCCAGACTTACCAAAAAAAAAAAAAAAGGAAGAAAGGGCTCTTTTTTATCTGTGCTTGTTGATCACTACATCAATACAACAGAGGAAGTTGAGAGAATGACAGTAAATGGGTTGCGTGCTTCATGAGCAACCAACCATAACTTCCAAATGCACTTCAATGTCTTGTGGGCAAGGGATTATTAAAAAATGTTTGATAACATGTTTATTTAACCATATTTTCACAACTATTATACCATTTTATTTTGTCTTTTCTTATAAAATTGCCATCACGTTTTTCATATGTATGAAAAAGAAACTAATGCAGCCCTTTAATTTTTCTTTGGAATTCACGTCCAATCGCTCATGTTGCCCACAAGCCGACATTCTTGTACTGGTATCTGTAATGTGTATAAAGCATTAGGCGTTCAGTTTGGCGTTTCTACCTGTAAATATAAAAATCTCCTATCAATTTCATGTACAACTGACACCTCCACCCTCTTATTTTCACAAGTTATAGCCACAAATAGACAAAAGTACTGCGTGAGCTGCACGGTGACTAAGGAGTTTATGATGAATTCAATATATTTATTGGAGCATTGAACAAATTGACCTTGGAGCCCTAATTCGCACGCTACTCTGACAACTGCAATGTCAACTGTGTTTGTTGGCTCATTGGGCTCATATTATTTATCCTCCTTGTCAGATAGAAAAAGTAAATTTCCTCACACATGCTTTTGAAATTGACTGTCATTTACACTTTTGTTTACAAAAGACTTGAAAGTTAATCATCCAAACCTGCTCGCGTTAAACACCTTTACCCCCACTTTCCTCTGGTAATAAACTCGTCTAAGTGTGACTCTAACCTGATTAGCTCAACCGAAGTTCAACTTACCTGGAACCAGTGAAAGTTTGGTCATGTCCAGCCTTTTGAAGGTGTGCAGGGCTACCTCTCGCCTGGGCTCTCTGAGGCGTTCATTTGCGGCTGCAGCTATTCCAGAACCGGACAGGAACCCCGACGTCAAATACACCGGGGTAAGAGGCCATTGTTTGTGGGTTACATTACACCCCTGGATTTACCATATCTCACTCACTGAAGCCGGGGTCGAAAATCGCTCCAGTATAACATTTAGGCTCTACTTCTAGACTGCCAGCGGGTCTGTGTGTAGTTATTTTGGACGGTGTTTTATTTATTTTTTGGTATTAAAAAAAAAGAAAGAGTTCTGCTTTAATACAGTGTATTATGTTGTGTATGGAATTAGTTCAAGGCTCAGTAAACAACAGGAACGAAAAATAGGTTAAACCTGTTTCTTGGAAGAAAAATGGTCATAAATTACATAATGAAACCTGTTTTTGTCATTAGTGATTATACTTTTGCTACATTTGAACTTTGTTTAGATATTAAGAAACTGCGCTGCCAAATATACTAGCAATATGCATGCAAGTACATGTATATAATGATATTGGTGTCAGATCCTGTTTATCATTAATTTATCACTGGGGATATACTGGTAGCATTTTCATGTGAAATTAAAGTTGATAAGTGGTAGATGCCTTATTTTATGTACAGATACAGTAGTGCCATTTACCTTTGTTGTTATCTTTTAAAATAATAATTGAATAATTAATCAATTATTTGCTTCAAACTCGATTTTTTTAAATAAAACTGCATTTCTGTTTTCTTCTTCGGATCCACTCTGTAGATCTTTATCAACAATGAGTGGCATGAATCTGTGAGTGGAAAGACATTTCCTACCATCAACCCTTCCACTGGACAGAAGATTTGTGATGTACAGGAGGGAGACAAGGTAAACATGAGAGAAGGTCAGGTTACATATGTGTCATGATAACTGTAGATGATGTTGATGTTATTTGAAACAGTAGCAATAACATTATATTATTATAATTTGAAATTTTCCCGTTTTAAAGGATATGAGATGATCTGTGCTTGCTTTCATTCCAAATGTAGATTTTTTAATTGCATATTATAGACTGGATTTGCTTGTGATTGATTCTCTTTTGAATATAACATTTGGAATTTTGTCTGAAAAAGGTTTTTTGATCACATCTCCAGATGGAGGTCAAGCACTTTGTTCATGGGTTGGGAGCTACCACTGAGTCAAAGCTATGCCCCTGATCTATTTTGTGTTTATTTACATAAAACTTGGGTTATACATTTTAAAGCAGGAAAAATTGGACCTGGACCTGTTGAATAAGGTTTGCACTACATGATATATATAGGAAAGTACATATATTTCTCTAAATGTTAGACTTAATTTCTTTATGTTCAAATTAAAACAAATACATATGCATCTAAAGTTCCAATTCAAAATATATCACAGTTTTGAAAATTAAGGACTTAACCCACATTTAAATGAGCTGTTGGTTCTCTGTCACATCATAATTTGCTCTTGTATGCCCTATACAGTGAAAGACAAGTACTTGTAGTTGTAACTGACTTATCCCACGGCTGGTACTTCAAACAATAGGACTAATCCACCAAAGTGCAGTTATCCTGTTGTTCGAAGCACCAGCCGTGGGGTGACTAAGAAAGCTGTGACATTGAAATTCATGCGAATAATTTTATAAAGAATCCTTTAAATGGGCCATGAAGTCAATAAAAAGTATGTGAAGATTTTCATCAAAATCTTCACATACTTTTAAGTAATGCTTCATGTACTTTCTGCTTACATACTATACAGCCAGATGGTGCATTTCAGTTTATAAAGGATGCCCTGAAAATCTGTTTAAGATATCTGGGTTCTATTTTCAACCTCTTGTGTATAATTGACATTTTCTGTGAACAGACTGAATTTAGTAGTTGTAACTGAAAGGCAAATTACTGGTAGAAGAAATAGGTTGTCTGAACAGTTTGAGGTGCACTTTGAAACTCTAGGTCATATTTCCAGTGTTCACTTATGGTTGCGAGTAGGTCAAACCTAGTGGCATTTTTTAAATGTAAGCAACATTGATGAATTGTTCTCCCTCACTTACTTTTCAAAGCCACTCCTACAGGTATTTTTGGGCCTTTTTTTCAGTACTCAGCTTTGAAGGCATTGTATCACACAATATGCTACATTCTTCTTCATGAATGTATTAACTCATCCTAGCCTCCCCAGCAGGCCAGTTAATGTGTTAAAATTTGAATATATAAAATTACAGAATGTTACATTTTTTTCTCTTATTGCACTCATGTTTTCACCCTATAACCTCTCCTGCTGGTAAACCTGGGCCAGAGCACATCCTTCTCTTGTGCATGCAAAGATGCTGCCAAAAAAAGTAAGCCGAATCAGGTTTTCGGTATTTGCATTTAAAAATCATAACATGCATTATAGAATGTTCAGTTGTATGTGATTTTGTTACAGTCACTGGGTCTTATTTGCACATTCCTCTCCCATGCAATGCATTGTATCAAGGTAACACTATCTCAGCAGCATGTATGGCTGCACTGAGACAGACTGATTCCCTGAAGTATATTCATACAACACCTGGATAGATTCATAATATTTTTATCAAATTGTATATCTAGAAACTGCCAACTTCACCAAATTGCAATTTACTAACATAACCAAGAAAAAAGAAAGGTTATTCTATTTCAAAGAACATAAATTCAGTGAAGTTTACTGCAGAATTGTGGCCACTTCTATACAGTAGGTGATGATTTATAATTAGATAACCTTCAAAATATGCCAAAAACTATCCCATTTGTTAATTCATTTCTTTTGCTAGGCTGACATTGACAAGGCAGTGAAGGCTGCTAACGATGCCTTCAAGTTTGGGTCAGAATGGAGGCGTATGGACGCTGCACACAGAGGGCTGTTGATGTACAAGCTGGCAGACCTGGTGGAGCAGAACAGGGCTTACCTAGCTGTACGTAGCATTCAACTTCTGCTTGTATCACAGTGAGCATTTTGAATGGAACTAAGACTACACATTTCAACTGCCTGAAAATGATAGTCATGAATAAGTAATACTGTAATCTTAAATGTTTTTGTATCAGTTACAGATCATAGATACTAATAGCAACAATCCATCAGTAATTGATTATTGATATAAGGTGTTAAAGAAAACAAAGTTGTTGTGTTTTTGAATATACTGTACATGTGTGGTAAAACTGCTGGTTACGTTCTCCAGGCCTTGGAAACACTGGACAATGGAAAGCCTTTCCATGTGGCCTATACTGCTGACCTGCCACTGGTTATTCAGTGTTTAAGGTATAGTATGTTTACACTAAACTTAAAGTGCAGTTTGACTTGGCATTTGCCATATGTTTTGTGTCATTTACAGATGAATCCTATTCAAAGTTATGAGAAAATCGCAAATTTTAATCTACTGGTAGTGTTTGAAAGAAAATTTAAGACAATACAGTTGCATAATTTTTGGGTAATTTCAACAATTATATTTAGAATTTCTGAAGTGCCCTAGATATATTTGGTTGAAAGCAGCCACATCTTGTCTGCCATGATTTCAGGTACTATGCTGGCTGGGCTGATAAGATTGAGGGAAAGACCATACCAATAAGTATGTTTGACTGACTAACATCACCCCAAATACTTATCTTGATGGATTTATTTATCAGTTGGATGATTTGTAGTGATTTTTTAAAAAAAATTGAGCCAACTTGTATTTATGAAAAAATTTGCTGTTGAAGTTAAACAGTGGAAGGTTGGTGGTCTATTTGAACTTTGAACTCAGTTATGAAAATGAAGCGTGCATTGATCCTTGAAGCACATTTGCGGTGTTTTCATTATATTCTTTCTTGGGATTTCAGCTGGTGACTTCTTTGCATACACTCGTCATGAGCCAATTGGAGTAGCTGGTCAAATCATACCTGTATGTATAAATTTTTAACATGATATTATTTTTTTAATGAGTGTATGTTTGTTTTGGTCTATATTTTTTAAAAAATTCATTTATAAACAAAATAATGGGGTTAGATACCACCAAGACTGGGTTCCCACAGATTTAGATCGATCCATCTGGATTGACCTAACTCCCTGGGGGCTCAATCTAAATTGCTGTCAGCTTCCGGGAGCTGAGCGCGCACAGTTAATTACGTTCTTACAGCTTTTAGTAGGCAGGACAGACATTTAAGTCGGTTAAGCTGACAGCAATCTAGTGAGACTCCCCAGGGGGATAGATCAATCTAAATATCTGTGGGAATGGTCTCTATTTATATATTCCAACAACAGATTCTAATGAATGTTTGATCTTGGGCAAGTTTAGAAATTAAAGACATATTTCTCATTTTTCAGTGGAACTTCCCCCTCTTGATGATGGCGTGGAAGATTGGTCCAGCTCTGGCTGCTGGCTGCACAGTGGTGTTGAAGACGGCTGAACAGACTCCTCTCACAGCTAATGTTGTAGCCCAGCTGGCTGCAGAGGTACAGATGTATACTAACTGTCAGTTATAAATACACACTGCTGCCAGACCAGCACTTTTATAGGGATATAAATCAAGTTCACCTTTGTTGAAGTTTGTTTACTACATATTTCACATCAATGTTTCTTTGAGCAGTTTTTTTATTGACATACACAAATTGGAATGAGATTTTTCCAACTATTGGCAGATTTCCAACTGTTTTAAAGCAAAAAATATCATTGGCCAAGGTGGCCCCCTAGACCCGACACCATATTTTCTGACTTTTTCACTGAATGGCAGTCTCATTCCTTTATGTAAGTCTTAGACATGTAGTCATCACCTGTGTCTGTCATATAAATCAAAGGAAAACCATGTTAATTAATATTTTCATATATACAGGTATGATTTATATGACTAATATATAGCTTGAGTTTGAAAATGTCATGACTAATATGTAGCTCGAGTTTGAAAATAAACCTGCTTGGATCAATTTTTACAGTTTTGATATTTATATGACTGTCCATTTGACAGCTTTTTTGTCTTTTCCATCACCTCATATTTGCCCTCTGTCTGTTACAAGAGTGTTTGTGCATTTTATTTTGTAGGCTGGCTTTCCCCCAGGTGTCTTGAATGTGGTCCCTGGTTATGGTCCTACTGCAGGAGCAGCTCTCGCAGCACACATGGATGTGGAAAAACTGGCCTTCACTGGATCTACTGAGGTAGGGGATCTTCTTATTTGTATCTGATGCACAGAACTTCAAATAATAGGACTAATCCAATTTCAAAGTTAATTAAATTTGTTTACTGTATACTTCGCAAAAAATCAATTGGGACTTGCCAGAGCTCTCCTTTTACAAATGCATGTCAGTAAAGTTGTCTGTTTTCAAGTATAGGTGTTATGAAAACAGTAAGCCAGGAGATAGGTGTGTGTGTGTGATATTATTTACCTTGTCACTTTTCAGCCTTCAGATCAAGGTCAATCTGTGAAAATAACATATTTTCTCAAATGTCTTCTAGGTTGGTCAGATTGTGGGTAGACTGGCCAATGACAGCAACCTGAAGAGGGTCACTCTAGAGCTGGGAGGCAAAAGTCCAAACATTGTGCTGGCTGATGCCAACTGTAAGTTGGTATTTGAGAAAAAACTATATAGTGACATGATAGAAATTGATGGTGAATGTGGCATTTTGAGTTGCTAGTTAAATGTGCACTGTTTGCTTTGCATTAAAATGTAACAATATGGATTTTGAAAAAAATGTACATGATTGGGATAGATACAGAACATGTTTACAGCTTTAACAACAAACTTGTTGATTTTATTTTTTAAAAATGGTGTAGAATGAGAATCTTTTCCTTGTGTAGTCAAAGCAAGTTTTAAAATGCTGTAGGGTGGCAGTTGTGCATTTTAAGATTTGTTTCATCCTTCCAGTGGAAGATGCAGTGGAAACCAGCCATTTTGGCCTTTTCTTCAACCAAGGGCAATGCTGCTGTGCTGGGTCCCGCATCTTTGTTGAGGAATCGATTTATGATAAGTTTGTGGAGGCTAGTGTGGAGAGAGCCAAGTGCAGAACCGTTGGTGATCCCTTTGATCGCAGTAATGAGCAGGGTCCACAAGTAAGTTATCTAACAGAGTGATTATTTAAAACTGTTACAGTGCAATATCAAAGTAATCTTTTATTTCTTTATATATATATATATATAATTTTTACTGTCTGCCACATTTATTTAGCAAATATAAAATTTTGTTAATTTGTTTTGTTTGAGGCCACTGTCTCTGCTTTGGTCCATTAGATATTAAGACCCTATTGTTATAAAGGGACAGACATTTAAAGCCAAGTGCACTTTACTTAACAGATTGATGAGGAGCAGTATAACAAGATCCTTGATCTGATCGAAAGTGGCAAGAAAGAAGGAGCCAAGTTGGGAGTTGGCGGAGAGAAAATGGGCAGCAGTGGGTACTTCATTCAACCCACTGTCTTCACTGATGTGCAGGATGATATGAGGATTGCTAAAGAAGAGGTATCAAGAAAACCTATAACATCAAAAAAAAAAAAAAAAAACAAGACACCCATCACTAGCAATAGTTGTTTTATCCTAAATGCTATTTCCCAGTCATCATGTCATATGTATTTTGTATTTACTTGTATGTTATAAAACTAACAGTAGATTAGAGAGCCTATAAAATGTAACCTGTACACATTTTAGTGCCCAAAAAAGAATTATTATTATTATTATTATTATTATTATTATTATTATTATAACTTTGGGTGATTTTAAACCTAAATGGATATTGATAGATATAAACAATAGAATACTTGGGGAAAGGACAATGTAACAAAAACAATAATAGCGAAAGATTGTCAGACAGTGGTTAAACATTTGAACATTGGTCATGTATTTTCCAGATTTTTGGACCTGTGATGCAGATCCTGAAGTTCAAAACAATGGATGAGTTGTTTGAGCGGGCTAACAAGACCATGTATGGGCTGGCAGCCAGCATCATGTCGAATGACATGGACAGAGTGAACTATATTGTCCAGGGACTGAGAGCTGGGACAGTGTGGTGAGTCATTTTGAATGATATTTTTTTCTCAACTTCACTACTTGACCCATGTTTTATGGGGGAATTGAATTTTGGAGAATTTCATTTGCATCACATTCACCATACGTTTTGGATTATCATTTCAACCCCAGCATGTAAGAGCAAAAAAAATTAACACACCATATTTTGTGCATTGCCTCGTTACTGTAAGTTGTTTATTTCATTATGCATTATTTAGGGTGAATGCCTTCGACAAATTTGATGCATCCATGCCATTTGGTGGCTACAAGATGTCTGGCAATGGACGTGAGCTTGGGGAGTATGCTTTGGATAACTACACCGAGGTTAAGAGTGTAAGTAAAATATTTTAAGACTAATTTTGGGCATAAAGAAGGAGAATTTTACTTGAAAATGGCATCATCTCTTATGCTAATCTAGAGTCCAAGTAATTGAAATTATGGATGAAAGTGAAAAAATCAGTTGCCTTGTTTATGATGAAATTTAATTCATTTGAATAACAATTGTGTGAATAAAATATTTATATGTATATAAATATATATTTAGGTGTGCATCAAGATTCCACAGAAGAACTCTTAAGGTGCGGGTGCACTTCAAGAACCTTCAAAATCTGCAATATCTTTCATGCTGTCATGGACCATAGTTGAAGCAGCTTAAATGCCATTAAGATTTTTACTAACAGTGCAAATATACTGAGAAATATGAGTGTATATTTTAATATACTCAGTAGTCCATGGCCCTTTTTAATTGGAGTGGTATACTTAACTGATTCAGTCTGTATCAGATCCCTTTGAGAGATAGACAATTTAATAGCCTGGCTATTAGGTAAGACTTAATAGAGCCCAAGAACCATTATAGATTGTATCAGTTGAGTATACCCTCTGATGTGAATATGGCCTGTGTAGGATTGTATTTCTTAATATAGATATAGAAAGATTGTATGAGATTTAGAGTCACTACAACATTGTTTATTTACATGTGCAGCATTTTTTGTATGCAAATCACATTCTCATTCATGGTAATTACAAATTAATGCAGTAAATTTGCTGCTTTAAGTATTGACTTGTGCAGCATTTTTTGTATGCATATCAAATTCTCATTCATAATAATTACAAAGTAATGCAGTAGATTTGCAGCTGTGTGATATAACCAGATACAGAATTGCTGACTTTTATTTTTTACCTTGTCAGCCTTAGATGTGTTGTGACGCATTAATCAAGATTTATTCCTATCTTGCCATTATTCATGATGATTATCAGACAGGAAAAAAGTTAATTTTAATAGTGTGAAAAATATTATGATTCAGATAGCACAATGTAACATGCCAAAATTAACTTTTAATAAGCAATATTTAGTTGCAAAAACAGTATTCATAAATGTCAGTGATTGCAAATCACTGATTATGAGCACAAAATTCACATTACTATTACATGTATGAAGTCATTGGCACTGTATCAGAAGCATTATTTGCAGTCAGAATTAATAAAGTGTACTTGAAGGTGAGACAGTTTTCATGTTAAAGCTGTCAGAAAAGGTACCTTTGTAAATGCTGTTGTACCGGTGTATATACAAGCTGTGATTGAATAAAAACAATATATGCATGGGCTATATTCCTTTGGCTGAAACATTTAAGAATTTTCTCTAGCTAAACGTATCTTTGAGCCAACCTGCATAAGTTTTTTTTATTTATTAATCTAATTATTTTTATTTTATTTTTACTTTTTTTTTAAGTATTTTCAAATAATTTAAATTTAAAAATGCTTCTGTATATATGAGACTTACAGTAAAAGGCTGAATTGTAAGAAAAACTCGCACACAGAGCCTAATGATGTGCCTTATGTTGCATCTTACTACTTATTCGCACTTTTTATATTCGGTGAAAACTTGTTCGGCAAGGATATGAATGTAACCACATTTGCTGATCAATACATTTTCATTAATTATACTGAGTAATTTATATTATAAGGAATCCAACCACGATGGATATTGATATAGAAATTATTGTAGAATGAAATTTTTAATATGATTTAATTTTAAATAGATGTTTAATGCTTGTTAACTGTGAGGGCAACAAAGATAGTTGTGTTTAGACCTTTTAACATTAATTCCCATCTAACTCAACCCCAGTAGCACTACGTACTGTACCAGTAAATACTAGTACTGATATATACTGTACAGTATCTTTACATGTACTTGATCTTTTATCATGCCTTTATCCTCCTTTAAAAACAAACCCAGGTTTTATTACAAAACCATCTGGTCTCATTTTGTAAATTTAGTCTATATGAATATCTCCACTGGCTGCTTCTCATGTATTGTCTAGAGGGCAAAGAACCTGAATAACAGGTGTGCATTATTGTTGACAATAGAAGTAGGTCAAACCGAACTGCTTGACGGGATACTATTTTGAATTTAAAAATGGCGGCCTCCGTATTGCAGGTGCCCGGCGAAAACAATTGTAATGTTTTGCAGCTCAGCGGCTTGCATAATTTTCCAAATTCGTACGGAGTTGTGGAGAAAGACATGCTGAATAATTTAGAATGGAATGGGGAGTTATTTCCAAACAAAGAAGCTGTTTTGCGGCAATCGAGGACAGAGTTCCACAAAGGTCGCCAAGTTGCCATCACGAACGTCCCACCGGTAACGTACGATGTAAGTGTCCAGATTAAGAATTACATTGCTGCTAAAATATTTTAGGAAGAGGGATGTATAATATACTTTATAAATAGAAAATATGTATCCACACTGAGCATGGCTTCCTGTTTGAAGAAAAATGCGAGAAAATAGAGGAATGCCTCGGTGTAAAGATTTGCACTTCTGTAAGTATGGAACAAAAAGACGTCCTACAGTGAGGCAAGTCAAGACTCCATGTACGTTTAATATTAATTTGAGAATTCGAAGTCAAACCAGTCTCAGTCCCAAGCTCCAATATGGCCCAATCTTGGAGTAAACCAATGAAATACCCACACACGTAGGGAATTTGATTGTTTAGCTGTTACCTGAATAGATGCCAACATGAAATAAATGGCAGGTTAAGCCCAGTTCTTAACTCACCTGTCAGTAATAATTGATACAGGTAGTTACCCTCCTGTCCTTTGTGTCATACTCCATCAAGTTTCTGAGTTACTGCATAATAATAGATAATTTCCTTTGGGTGAAAAAAGGGTCTTGTATCGCTACAATCATTTAAACGGACAAATTGTTTGATTTTTTCAGTATTGTACGCTATACAAATATATGAAGAAAAAAGGTGAATAAATAACAGTTACTAGTCGCAACCCAAGGGTAACTGATATTTCAAGAAAATAGTGGCATCTCTGTAATATTTATTGTTTTGATTGTTTATTAAAGTTATACTGTACCCTGTAGAAAGTTCCAAACTGTATGTCTTCATATCCTGTAAAGCTACTTGCTAGTATCTTCCTCAATTCAGACCTCAAAAACATAAAACCCTTCAAATAAAAGTGTAAAATAAATGTTAATATCTCCTTCTAAAATGAACAGTACACTGTACAGGAAGACATGGTTTTCTTAGTGACTTCCCAGTCATTAAGAAGTAAATTATTGTCTTAAGTGGAATAAAACATGGTACCCAAGTGCAGGTGTGCTGTAAAAGGTCAAGCAATAATTTGTGAGTAAGAGAAAATTACTTTCCCCTCCCAAGGAAAATTAATTTTGGTGAGTAAATTCTATGAAGAGTACCTTTAACTTTACTGCATGTTGTCAGTGAATCCTTCATGTTCTGTTTTTATTTTAGGAAGTAAAGGATTTTGTTGGAGGCTATGAAATTTTCAACATATCTATCAGCAAGAAAGCAAGGAGAGGTATGGCCATGTTGAGATTTTTCATTTTTGGATATTATATTTGTACTAGAAATTGTAACATAAGATACAACTTGGTTAACATAAAACTGATGGGTTTTACTTTGACAACTCTTTCTTACACAAATTAATATCAGTTATATTTCCATGTTGTGTGACAAACTGATAATTCTGTTCCTACTAGCTGTTGTAACCCTTGTGGATGGAGACCAGGCAGATGAACTGGTGCAGAAACTTCAGGGAAAGAAACTTCTCGGCACAGAAGTGGAGGTTGTGGTGTTTCCTAAAGAGAACCTGATATGTTTTACACAACTGCCGTTCAACTTCACAGAACAGGATCTTGCAGCCTTAGTGGAACCTTATGGAAAGACAGAGAAATTGTTTATGATGAGAAGTGAAATGACAGGTATACCATAAGTGATGTAATATACTGGTAGAAGAGTGAAAAGATTATTAGATATGACCTGGCGCATGTTTAAATTTCACTTGTGTAATGTCATGAAAATAGTTAACTGCTTCTGCTCAGTAAAATATTTGACAAATGCTTCTTAAAGGTAATTTTTTAGGCTTAAAAAGATAAAAACATTACCAATGATTCTGTAGAAATTTAAATAAGAGGTATGCTAGAATGATCCCTAACAATGTATATTCTTTTCAAATGATAACATTGTTGTTATATATTTTGTTTCAACACGAGCATGATACAGCAATTTCATTTGTATTCTTCTTACACAGGTTTTAGTAAAGGGTATGGTTTTGTGGAGTTTTCCCACAACAGAGACCTGTCACAACAAGTGAAATGCCAGCTGGATGGTATGAATCAGGGTACCTGGACCAGCCACTGTGACTTTGTAGATCCCGCTATTGTGATGTACGAGGACTTGCATTCCAAGTGTCTGTTTGTGGATAATCTTCCTGACAACTATTACAATTCTGTCCAATTCAAGGAAATGTTTAGTAAGGTGGTGCCTCCTGCATACTGTCAGGTGGGTTGTTTCTCTGAGTGAACTTTAAAGACAACCATGATTTGATTAAAAGTAGCTAATGGGGAAAGTATTTTAATATCTCTAAAATACTTGTTTTCAGATGGCAATGCAGTTTTTAACAAATAGATTTTAATATAGCACACCATATTGGAAAGAACTAAACTGTTTTTTATGTCATTGCTTCTGTCAGTTTTGTCATTCATATGCATTTATTTGACAGTTTTGCTGCCTTTTCATTGTTTTAGTTGGCCATGAGAAATGGAGACAGCCTGGGTTTTGGAATAGTGGGATTCAGGAATGCAGTAGAAGCAGAGGTTACCCAACAGCTGACACATAATACAACACTTCAAGGACACCAAATCAAAGTGACATTTTGTACTCCTGAGCTGTCTTGTGAGGAAACCTACAGGAGGGCTGTAGAGAAAGTAATAATTGGGTCTTCATAATAGATTATTGTTGATAAAGTGTTCTGTAATTCAGTGGCAAAGAGAATAGTCATGTATAAATGTGTGAACCCTTTTCCATGCAGCATTGCATTGACTGGCATTTTGATGAATAACAACCTTATGTCCACAAATATTTCATCCTGAACTCTGCGATTATTCATATTATTGTTTTTTTAATTAAAAAAAACGTATGCTTTTCATTTACAGCACAACTCAGCCACTTCTGTGACATCGGTCCAAGGTCTTCTCCACCAGAACCCAGTGTGTGAGTAGCAAGGAATATATTTATTATGTTTATTTATTTAAAGCATTTGGCAAAGAATTGTATTTTAGTAGATCTCAAGTTTCTGTCATGGTCAACATTACATTGACCATTTACATTTAGATTCATATTCTGAAAGTCTTAATTTAAATGTCACTGGTACAGTTGTTCTCATTCAAATTGTAAAATGATAATTATATCTTTTATATTTATGGTAATGAAATAACAATTAACATGATTTTAAACTAAATTTTTTCAGTGTTAAGGAGTTTTACATCCTTGCTCCATGATCTTCAGCAGGTTCTTGGTCAGCAGCCTCAAGGTAATTATCAAAAAAAGCTTTGTATAATCCAACAAGAAACTCTAATTCTTTTGAATTTTCTACATATCAAATAATACAAAATTGTATGATATTATGCACAAAAAAAAATATATATATATTTTAAACCAAATTGATCAAACATTTTAAATATGAAAAAACATTATTTAGGGGGTTAACTATCAGTAAACATGAAAATCAATTGGTATATTTGTATGCTTACATTTTCAGAAGGTCCTGATATCCGCCTGCTTCTCTCTAATCCAGGCATACAGATGGCACTGGTCCTCCTGTTGTCTGCTCAGAATACACCCAATGGACAACAACAGGTACTGAGCAGTGTTTTCTTGGCTTAATGTTTTAAAATGGCAGAAGTTCATCTAAGATTCTGTGCCTCCATTTAAGTATTCTTAAAACAGATATACCCAACATTTTCTCTTCAACAAAAATTGGAATAAAATTATGTTCATCACTTAAAAAAAAAAATTCTTAAAAAAGTCAGTTTGTGAAGGCTAAATTCAACTAAAGTCGGCTCATATATTCTAGCTGCCTGCTGCAAAAGAACTTCTGACAGACCTTGAAAATCTGCAGGCTCACCTCAGGGCTCAGGTAAGGTGTATTCAAGTTTGCCGTTTGATGCTACATTCCACATATATATGTTCGTCAAATTCTCCATAGATAATGTTTATGTCAGTAAAATCTATGATCTCCAGAAAATGTTCAGTTCCATTCTTTGCTTTTATAGTCTTGATTTTTTATCGTATGATTTACTGTCTGCATGAATTTTTGAATTGTAGCAAAAAGGTAGAAGTTTCATTGTGTAAGTATGCACTGTAATTTATTGATACATGATTTTTTGTAAGATGTAAAACTATCTAATGTTATATTATTATATACCAATAATTTTAGGAAAACCTTATGAACAAAGCACAAAATTCATCCCTCCTGGGCAACCCACTCGTAGCAGAAGCCAGTGCCTTCCTGCAGTCTCTGGCTCAGAAAATCCATCAAGTGCCACCACCCCCTCTGCATTCCATTCCCCAGGAGCAAATGCCTCTATACCTGCCAAATGTTCATCATAAACATGGTGCTGGTAAAAATCTCAATGTGCCAAAGACACTGGTCAGTGCTGACACTTCTTTCATACATGATAATCTTAACAATTGTCATCCAGTACAAAAGGTTAATGGAGGACAGAGTCAATTTGGTGCTGTGTACAGTTCAAACAGCAATATGATTCAGTATCAACACCCCAAAACCAGTCAGCCAAATCAACTGCAGAATGCGCATGTGCGTTACAATCTGAGAAGTAGACAAAAACAACTTCCTTTCCATGACAAGTGTAAGGATTTGCAAAATGTACAGCAAGCAGTTCCTGTTGTCAAAAATGAACTGACCAGGCCACAAAAAGAGGATTTTAGAACTCAGCATGATTTGTCGGATTTGGACAATGTGGGAGATGTTTTGCAATTGGGGGAAATTTTGCAACAAACAGACAACTTGGTGCCAATCAAAAAAATTGGAAAAGCACTAAGGTAAGGAAATAACTATAAAAACAAGACATTTAGCGTAACATTTTCAATATAATACAGCAAGAATGCTTTTTCATATTCATATTCAGAACAGTGTCCATGTGGTCATTGTATCTATCAGACACATTTGTATACCCCATAACTACCAGACTGTATTTTTGCTTAACTTTAACTTTTTTAAACCACTTTTGAAGTTTTTGGGTGTTAAAATTGTTGAAATAAATTGTTTCTGTAATTTAATGCATTTTTACAGGCCTGTAAAATCTACTGTAACTGACAGAAGACTTTGGAATGATGAAAATTCTGACCCAGAAAAACAGAGCATTCAACCAGTAGAAGTGGAGAACCTAAAACCTGATGAACAGGTATTAAATAATTTTATGAAAATAATACATGAACCCAATAGTTGGTGTTACAAAATAATAATAATAATAATAATTATTATTATTATTATTATTATTATTGTTAGTTGAAATTGAACTCTGTGAGCTTTCAAAAACAGAAGTGAACTCAAACATATAATGCTTGCTCAGTAATCAGTTTTTGTTGCACCATCCTCTTTCAGACCAATAAGACCATTACCAGACCAAGGACAAGAAGCAGGAGAAAAGTTCAGGTTGCATGCATTCTGGGAGGTTCAAATGCAGGTATGGGGCAGGTTCCTGGTGTACCAGAACAGACACCAAGTGAAGTGGAGAGGGTTGGCCTGAAGCGGGTAAGACATAATTCTTCTTTCCCTTATGGAAATATGGCAGAATTTTAAAAAAATCAGGATTTTGCTAATAGTTTCTGTGTGGTTTGTTATATAAAACGTTCCTGATCTAGCAATGAGAAGTGTTTGATTGTTATTTTTTCTTTTTTGTACTTCTTATATTAAATTAAACTGTTCATATTTTCAGTCTGCAGTGACACCTATAGAGACGCCAGTAGCAGCCAAAAGACGCGCTCTCCACCTGCTTCCTTCACCAGAGGCCAGTCCTCCTGGCCCTTACATAGGTCAACACTCACAGGGTATAGGTGGCCACTATGCTGACTCTTACTTCAAGACCAGGGTGGTACTGTGAATGAAACTGGATTATTTATGTTAATGATACAATACTAATACTAGACCTGCATTGGAAATTAGTTCAGTTGGACAGATTTATTTATTATGAAAAATCAATACTTTTTTAAGTATTTATTTGCTATTTAAAGAAAACTTTCAATTGCCAACAGATTGAAGTTTTAATTTTTTTTTTACACAGTTGTGTGTACTGTTATGATTTTAAGTCCTTCATAGAGACACTTTTTTCTTGTTTCACACCTGTTGTGAATTGGATATTATTTTTATGTACTTTTAAATGCAGATTACTACCTGGTGTATACGAAATTTGATCCAGAGGTTGTAGTTGTGAAAATATTTTATACTTCATTTAGATAAGTAAATTATGAGTTCTTATGTGCAACCAACTCATTTGACAGTTTTTATCATCAGTGATAGTATTTTAAGGTGATGGAGGGAATGCCAGATTGATCAGATTCTTTGCCATTTTTATTAATTTTAGATGAAATTTTTGTTGCCAGTTTTCATGTTAGAGTTCCTAAGCAGTGGTGATTGGGTGTATGTAGTCAGGTGGATAGCTTGTGCATGGTGAATGTGAAATTGCATGTATTAGCTTGTTTAATTTGTTTACTTCATTTTAACTGTATGTGATTTTAAGTAGATTATGTTTGTTGCTATGGTGCATACTATATATAGATTTTAATATTTATTGATAATTTGTTCTTAAAAATAAATTAGAAACATTTCCTTTTCTATATAGTGTGTATAAGCTATTTATACTTGTAGATGTGGTGAATGTGACACTGAATGTTGTTCTGTGAGCTAGCATATTTGATTTTATTTAGATGTCAATTGTTTTTGATATCATTAATATAAACTACATCACACTTAGAAAAAGTACTTACTTTTCACTTTTAATAAATGTCATCATTATAAATATTGTTTAGGTTTGTGCAATTGGATAAAGTGTTAATTCTGGTCCCTATGGAATATTCTATTCCCCTAAAGACCAGCATGTAAGTTATTTTACAATTCTAGAATGTGGGGATTTCTGCATTCCTGTGTACACAATGAAAACTTGCATGTACAGGAATGAATTATGAATGGTGACCTATTAACTGTATTGCATTATTGTTTTTCCACAATTATTATCAATTGAAAAGTACCAGTAACAATTGGTATTTTGTATGCTTATTTGATGTGTTTTAATCAGTATTAAATTTATATTAATAAATAGGATAGTTGGAAAAATCTGTACACTCCATGGAAAGCAATTTCAATAAAGAGTTATTGTCACAGAGACATCTATGCTTACCAATAAGTATACAGCAAAGCTTGCAAATAAACAGACACTAAACAGCAAAATATTTAACCATCAAGTCACAATATAAATTTTAAATACATCTGACCATGCTGATTTTCTCAGAAAATGCATTTGTTACCAAATAGCGACTCGTCAAATTTGAAAAAAAAAAAAAATTAACTTTTGGGGCAAACTTCACCAACATATGTATATGTTAAAAATTAATAACAGCCATTAAAAAAGTCTAAAGGGATATATTGGACAGTGATGATGCTGACAGTGTCTGTACATAAAAACTAAAGTGATATCTGACTCCAGAGATGACCGCCTAAAATAAACCAATTTCAAGACTTTCAGGCCTAGAAGAGACTAGAGTGACCCAAGGCTACCTAGTTCTACTGTCTCCATCATAACATAATTTACTTTTTCTCAATCAGAAGTCCAATGCCCTCTCCCTCTGTTGCAGTTCTGTCAGTGTGACCACTTCTCCAGCTTTATTTCTTTTCCAAAACTCAAATGGTTTTCTAGATGGTTGGACATCTTGAGGGGGGATCTCATATACTTCTGCCTACAAATTTTATAGATTACATAAAATAAAAAAATTGATGGCAGAATTAGATCATTGCTGTTTCATATAGTTTGTACTAACAGTTACCAAGATTTCAGAATAAATCCAGATCCAGTGATATCTTATCATAACAGTTTAGAAAGACAAAAACGTAGCAATATCCAACTTTCCAAGAAATTTTCAAAATTTTATGCATTTTTTTTTACTAAATGAACTTGGAAAGGCGACAGATATTCAAACATACCTCTTCCATTTTTTCTTCAAATGGAATAAGTGCCAGCATGCACACCCAGACAACCAGCACCAGTACACTCACTGCAACAACACACACGTCATAGTACGGGGGCAGCAGGCCTGTCAGCTGCAGCACAGGATAAAGCTGGAGAAGTGCAACAGCCATGTTTGAAAAAATCTGAAATTAAATAAGTAATGTTATTCATTATAAGAATGTTCAGTAATATATCAACCTTGAAATAATTTACCATGAAAAATTGTACTTTTGTTGTTTTAAGATTGGCGTTCTCCCTTCTTAGTTCCTTAATATACATGTAGAAAACACCAAAAATCGCCGAGAGAGGTCTGAATAACATCTATTACTTGATTATTACAACAACATGCTTGTATTAAATTGTACCTCAAAACCGTTGTGAATTTCTACAATTCTTAGCTGTGAAGAAAACGTCCATCTACATGCCCTGAATAACAATAATATATAAACAATTCATTCAAAACACAGACCTTTTTCAATGTCATAAAATAAAGATGTTAATTTTTGCTCAAGTGACTGTGTATATCTACTCAAATCTGCTGTGATCTCTTCTTTGTTTTTATTTCAAATTAGTTTAAACCACTAGCACTTTATTCTAGATCTGCCTCAAGAAAAGGCATCTGGTCTAACACGTACCCACCTGTATGGCCGTCCAGCAATTACAGTTATTGTGTAGGCCAATGTCAAAGATAAATGGACAATGGCTTGAATAAATGGCCTGTGAAGGAAATCATAATTTTATATCTGTTAACAAAATATTGGAAATTGCCTATTTACCTACTCCACTCATATTCTTTTATGCAATTAATAACATTTTCCAAGGAAAATGTTATATAGCTGATGAAGAGTTAAAGAGAAAAATGGGTGCAAAACAAGGAATCACTATATGCTTACTTTACAGGATTGACATCTGTTATTATAATGCACATTAGCTTCCTAAAGAATGGAACACTTTCCCAAAAACAGAAGGTCCTGCTGTAAGCCTCATAAACATATCTGTCAGGAAAAAAAAAATTTCCACTGAATTGTAAACCCAAGTATCATTTAAACATAAATTGTCACATAAAAGAAAAACAAAAAAGAGTGCAAGAAGTTTTTTCACAATGTTTTACATTAAAACATCAAATCTCTATCAGATTTTCCAATACATCTTGTGTGCAATTAACATGCAACTTTTTAGAACCTATGACCAATTCTTGAGCAGCAATATTTTTTACAAAAATTTTTAAAGTCACTTACCCATCCTTGACCATGTTTTTGTTCAATGAATCCCACTTTCTTAGGCACAATGTAATGAATGCAATGGCTGCTGGGACCAAGAAACCTACCACCACCACGCAACCAGCACTGATGAAATAAAATATCTGCAAGAAACATAGAATCAAGAGGAGATGGGGATGGAAAGATACTAGAAATTTCCCAAGACTTTTAGCCTGTCAAAATATTATATAGAAAAAAACAGAGTGATGAAATCACAAATAAATAAAAAATTAAAAACAGTGTTTTGTATTCTAATCACTCACATATATTTGGAGGCATGGCTGATCTGAATTCTGTACTGGCTGGTGTCTGTATTATATGAACTATAATTGATCCTGTATTACTAAAAGTCAACTTGATCAATGTGAATTAAACAGACCTAACAGATCTAAAACCCTGGAATACAATAACCAATAACCAAAATGTGTTCCACAACAAAATTCTCACCTGAAAGGAAAAATCCTCACAACTTTGAGCCTGGTCATACAGAAACACGTCATATGTGTAGTTTAGCAGAGGCTCCTAAAATTATCAACACCTTATTATATTTCTGTAACAACAATCATCAAAATCAAGTAGGAACTTCATAAAAGTTGAAATTTTACAAAATAATCTTTAGATTTTCTCAACTTTGTCACATTTTCATGTTAAATAGCCATTTATCCTCAATTATGTAATGTGTAATAAATGTTACGTGTAATAAATGTAAAACTGAAAAATGAAAATTATGCCACTCACCAGATCACCAGAGCAAGCAAATGACTTGATTGACATGAATATCAGTGGAGTGTAAAAAATGCTGAAAATGAGCAAAGCTGATCTCCTTACAGTCCTCCTTTTTGTCCACAAACTCACCATTCTTTTACCATCAGGCACAAATCCAATGTCTATTTTGTGTTTCTGTGTTAATAATGAAATAAAATTAGTGAGTACAAATTGAAAGATGCCACAGCACTGGAAGCTGGATGCTACAAGCACATCATCTTAAGAGAAAAAACAGTTAATTGAAAATTTCCAAATGGTAGCGTAAATGAGGTAATATTTTGATGGCTTGAACTGACTGGAAGGCCTGTGAAATGCATATAAAAGAATTGATATAAATCTCACCAGTTTTTTGTCAATTAATACTGACGTCACAAGAGCGATGCACAGCATCCCTATAACAGACCACCATTCTAAATATATAGTTGTCATTCTGGGAATGGGAAAGTAGCATTCTGAAAGCAATTTAAAAAAAACACGAATAAATCGTACAGATTATGAGCAGATCTTTTGTTTTGTGATAAACATTGAATGGTTAGGTTTCTTTGCCGGGTGTTCACACTAAAATATAAATTAAAGTTAGACAGGACATCCTGCAAATTAACTGACACAAAACAGGAAAGAAATATTGTAAAAATACATGCTGATATTAAGAAATAACTCTCATGAAAAAAATCTGATCATATGATGATTTTCAACTGCAGTCTGAATTTTTCACAAAACAAACCTACTTAGCAAATAAAAAGTAAAAGGCAAATTCAGATTGGCACATTCAGTAAATATTTGTACTTTTTAAAGTATAACAAAAATACAGTTTGGCAGTTGAGGGCAAACTACAGTGTTGGACAGCGACAACCCTGACATGGACAGACACAGTAATCAGAATATATACAGACATTTTGTGTCAGTACCTAAAATATGTGCACTGAATACCATGAACAAGGCCTATAGTGGGCTTGCTAAACTGCTATGAAACATATCTTATTTACTGAACTCAGAACTATGAACATAAAGATCTTTAAGTTGTCTTTCATTGAAATTTAAAGCAAAAAATTGAAGTCCCTTTCTCCTTTTTCATGACTTATTTTTCTTTTCAATTTAAAACAATCTGTTAATCCAATTTTTCCTAATTCAATATTTAAAAAAACTTCTTTACACTCCTTACAAAGACCCTGACTGACCACTGGCTAGCCTCTTACCTAGAGTGATCATCTTGGAGGAAAGCCAGGCAAAGGTGAAATTAGTGAAAGTGTCCAACAGAAGAGAAGGCCAGGCTATCTTGATTGACAGGCTTAGCAAAATCAGATGTAGGAAATGCAGAAGCAGCTTCAGCTTAAAACATATAGTTTCAAATTTTAACAAATAATATTGCTAATTTTGAAACAAGTTATGCACCTAAATCACATTTTGCAATGTATTAATTTTAAAATTCCTTTTAATTTTACTTTTAACCCAATCTTAATTTCCATTTATTTCCAATATTATTAACATCATTTATGCATTTTCTTTCATTGAAAATTATGGTGCACTTCTTATCATCTTTATATCTGGGCTACAAATATTCTTATACAGATACCAGGGCTTTTCCCAGGATTGGGGGTACTTCCAAAATTACCACCTGTAATTTCCTACAAAATTTCCGCGAGTCCAAGTACTGTATGCATAGCATTGCATAAAGCCGTCATAAAAAAACCCAAATGACGGCTGGATGGTTTCTGCGAAAACCCTTGACAGATATGCAATGCCATCATTAACAGAATTCACTATTCGCTAGCATGCTGTCTGAGTGGCAATTTTACTTACCTTAACCACTAAAGATAGGGTAAAACCATGCATTTCAATCCTAACTATGACAGAGAGCAGCACAACCACACCACACACTGCAGACCAGGGTACAGGCGAACACAAGACACAGGCACAGCCCAGCCTATGGTAGCCTGTACAGACACAAATTAAAAATGATAATCTGTTTATAGTATTTTTTTTCATGTACAGTACCTTGCTGAAATCATATTTGGCACTTAACTAAAACTACATGTAAAAAGCAAATATACAGACAATAAATTGTTTAAAAATACATAACTAATTAAACAACTTTTGTAAAAATAATCCAATTTTTAAAAAGAAACATAGTCTACATTTTTGCCAAACAAATTTGAAAAGTTAATCAAAATTAACTTTCTGATTTTCAGTACAAGATATCGAAAAAACAAAGAGCTAGGAGATCGAAATACTACAAAAGTACCAAATATTATAGGTCCAGAAAGAATCACAATATTTATAAATGTGCAGCCTGATGAGACATTAAATCCATCGCCTCCATTTAAAGACACAGTTAATATCAGTATAAATTTAATGTTCAAAATATTACCTGGCTCACCGTCTCCTGGCTGAGCACATTGTTCACAAGTTAGACCTGTGGTTCCAGGCTTGCACAAATTGTTCTCTATACAGTTGTCAGGAAAGAAGCACTCGACACAATTAACTAAAATTGGAAATGTACTTATTCATCAGCATTTCAATAAACAGAAACTGGGGTTTATATCAAACTACCATCTTCAAAGATCCACAACTTATTAACGGTTAGCTTTATATTTTTCTTTTTCTTTTTTTCTTTTTTCGTAGATTTTAAAAGAAACTCAAATCTATATCTGAACAAAAAGACATAAACACAAGTTCCACATTGAAAAAAATTTACCTTCATCACTGACACTGGTTTTATTTGGCATTGCACTGCAGTGCACTGTAGCACTGCCTGGTATCAAGCTGCTATGAACGGTTGAGAATCTTACCACACCTAAAACAATCAATATTACTACCGCCGCCATCTTCTCTGCTGTGCAAGTGGTGCAAATTGTGCTAGGTGTTATTTTGGCGTGATCTCACGACCGCAGTGCTTTACCACAATGACTGACCTGAAACCCGTTTTACAAAAGAACCTTTATAAATAGCCCAATAATCTGTGCACAAATGCACAAATTAACGACTCCAGCCACGAATAAACCCCCCCAACGCAGTGGCGGGTTTAGGGGAGGTGTCAGGGGGGTCCTGACCACTCCCCTTTCGATTTCTGAAAAAAAATTACACCAATGGTTCCCTCTTGAAATTAGAATTTTAACTAGCTGAATCATAGTTCTAAACCGTAGGGTAGACCGGGGCTAAACGCCCAGTCGGGATCAAACGCCCACCCACCTTTTTTCTGGTATTAATTAAGTAATATTACGCGCGTCACGTGATGTTTTGTCCACTGCCGATTTCTAGCAGGGGGGCGTCTCGATAGTCCGAAGGTTCATTGGTCCTAAAATTGGTAACATTTTCATCGATATTTTAATCAAGGGTTCATTGGTCCGAAGGTTCTATAGTGAATATTCGGACCAATGAACCTTCGGACTATTGAACCTTCGGACTATTGCTACGGCCCCTCTAGCAGATGCATCCTCCATGACGGAGATGACCAGAAACTAAAAGGTAAGTCTTTTATAATGATTTGTTTGTTTTTGCCTTGTTTCGAGTTATTTAGACTTTGCCCTAACATTAGTGACACCATCTACCAAATGCACGAATTAAAAAAACTTTGTTGGTGACAAATAGGACGATATATTAGAACTCGACACAAGTGTCCATGGTGTCAGATTATGTAACTACTTTTCGCCGAATTTTACAAATATATACAAAGTTTCACTTTGGCGCAAAATGCCCAGTCGGACATGGGGCAAAACGCGTTTTGTCCCGATCACTGGGCGTTTTGCCCCCTTTCTTTTTTAATAATAAATTAAATTTGAAAAGATGCGCAAGTGCTGATTTTTTTAAATGGTTATCCTTAGTTATTACACTTACGTGAGAAAAAGCCATAATTTGTTTGTTTTCAGGGTACATGCTCATATTTTTAAATAAATTTCTGGGTACGTGATAATATATTGATTTCTGAAACATAAATTGTTTTTTTTTTTTCCCCCTTTTCATTTACAGATAAAATGGTGAGAAATTATAAGAGGAAGTCTGACAGAGGCAAATATGGTCAGGAAAACCTGGCAGCAGCACTAAAGGCTTTGTCTGCACAAGAAGTTATAAAGAGAACTTCTTGGTCTGCAGGTATGCCTCTTATCCGAGCCAGCCAAGAGTTCGGTGTACCGACACGCACCCTGCGCCGCCACCGGGACCAGCAAGTGGCTGTACCAGGCACGCTTATTTTTGGAAGGTATCACAGCGCCCTGCCGCAAACTGTAGAATTACAGCTGAAGTCCCATGTCATTGAAATGACGACTCTAGAGACGACTCTACGGGTTAAAAGTCCGAGATATGCAGCGCCTTGCATTTGATGTGGCGGAAAAAGCACAGGTCGCTCATCCGTTCAGCAGAGAGCTGCGGATGGCAGGTCAGGACTGGGTGCAAGGGTTTCTCTCGCGTCGCGCCTTAAGCATTCGTAAGCCTCAGTCAACCAGCGTCGCGCGTGCTGTAGGCTTTAATAAGACGCAAGTGACCAATTTCTTTGGCATGTATAAAGCATGTCTCTACGCCCATCACTACGCGCCGTCCCGAATTTGGAATATGGACGAGACCGGACTTACCACTGTCCAAAAGCCTGGTAAGATTATGGCGGCAAAGGGAATGCGACAAGTCAGTAAAATCACAAGTGCTGAGCGGGGAGATTTGGAGACCCTGATCTGTGCCTTCAGCGCAGCATGAAAATTTTTGCCACCCATGTATATCTTTCCAAGAAAAAGAATGGTCGAAACGCTCATGAAAGACGCGCCGCCAGAAGCTGTAGGATATGCGAGTCAAAGTGGATGGACAGACTCGGAGCTATTTCTCACGTGGTTGAGGCATTTCGTCAGTTTTACAGCCTGCTCTCGCCAAGACCCCCATATCATATTGTTGGATAGACATCACAGTCACAAGACTCTGGAGGCCATTGATTTTTGTCGGGAGAATGGAATTGAGCTTCTCACATTGCCCCCTACATACGTGTAGCACTCATAAGCTGCAACCGCTGGACAGCGCCTATTTCAAATCCTTGAAGAGTGCATTTAATGCTGAAGCCGACAGTTGGATGGTCTCTTACCCTGGGCGTCGGATCTCAGTCTACGGCATGGCCGGTCTATCTGGAAAGGCCTTTTTGAGGACCGCTTTGCCGGAAAAAGCCGTTCACGGTTTCAAAGTATGTGGTCTTTGGCCCTTTGACCCCAATGTTTTCGCAGCCGATGAATTTATGGGGGCGCTGGTAACAGACGAGCCGGACGCACAGCACACTGAACAACTCCCAGCAGAAAGCACAGCTGCCTCTTGCAACTTACCAGCCGATGAAAGTTCCACACCTGTTAATGAAGTGCCATTTTGCTCATCGACCAACACCAGGCGACCGGAGGCCTTGTCCAGCACTTGTATTGTCCAGGCAAGTAGTGACGGGCGATGTCTATTTCGAAGTTTAGTAATAGGCATGAATCCAAAGTTACAATTAGCTGAGAGGAATAATCATGGGATTTTGAAGAGTCCAGTGTTAGAGATGCTGGAGAAGAGCACTGCAGATGGTTTAAGGGCCAATGTTATTAGCCACATGTGCGAATATTACAGCAGGTATAACAACCTAGATATTGAAACCATCAATGCTGACCTTCCAGCCTGGTTACGGTATTCCTCCATGGAAGACAGAATCGCGGCCATGGCAGTGCCAACTTCCTTGCCGGGGGAGTTCGAGATTATTGCAGCCAGCGAAGTTCTCAACCGGCCAATTGTTGTAGTAGACAATCTGTGTCAGGTGGTGCAGCGATATGGCGACGGAGAAGGCGACAGACAAAGAAACGCTTTACGAGGTGCGGCCAGGAAGTCGGCCACTATGACTGCGCACTACAGCACAGTCCGCTACAACCCATGGAGTCAGATGGGGCGATATTCCCGTATCAGATACACCTACCCTTCCTCCACTACAAAACAACCAAGGAATCAGGGACATTATTAATGAACTATCCCCAGAAACCTTGCAAAGTTCAGTTCGTTGTAAAAAGTAGGTCAAAGATTAATGTTAAGGCCTTATTTAAATTGCCAGTGTATGACTTCCTATTCAAGTTCAATAGTAACTATGGGTCTATCTCTGCCAGTTTTGGAGATATAAGGGAATTAAATGTTGCAAAGTTCAGTTCACGGTGAAAAGTAGGTCAAAGGTCAATTTCAAGGTCACAGTTAGATTGCCAGTGTATGACTTTTTATTCAAGTTCAATAGTAACTATGGGTGTATCTTTGCTAATTTTCGAGATTCAGTAACGTACCATAAATTTCGTACAAAAGAAATTAATTGAAATAACGAAAAGATCGTTTTGTCGAAATTCATGAAATTACAGGTGCTCAGAAATGCCAGATGTTCGAATTTCATAACATTCTGCCATTTTTGACAGAAAGCTGTCTGGCCCTTGCTATGTTGTTATGTTGTCTTTCCACGACTTTCAAAAGGCACATTACTGTATTTCACATTTTATTTTCACCACCACGTTGTGCTTTTTGATAGTGTGCAAAAGTGAGGAAAAGTAAGTTATTTTTCACCTTGCGGGGTGTCTCAATAACGATACGACCCCACACCGGTAATCCCCCGCATCGATACATCCCCTGTAAAATTACCATTAAACGCACACCGTCCTCCCCCACACCGACCACACCCTGCATTGTTGCTTCCTCGTATCTCTACTCCCACTATGCAATTAATATTTTCGACATTAATATTGTTACACATCGATAATATATTAAAAAAGGAGTTAATAATTGCAGGATTTTTGTTCGAAAAATGCATCGGGTATTGATGTGTCATGTGGAAAGTTTACAATTGACCGCAGGAAAACCGTAGGTAATGTTGCTTTTATGCTTTTAAATCACCTTCACTTTTTTCTCTCTCTCTCTCTCAAGTGCCTAATCCCATTAGGACGTTGGCGATCATGGACTTCCACCTCTTCCTGTCCTTTGCGGTCTTCAACAGGTCTAGCTCCGCTATTCCTGTCCACCTACTTATGCTTGCTGTGTATGTTAATCTTTGCCTGCCCCTGCTTCGCTTTCCATTGATCTTGCCTGTCACACTAAGATGTTCTAGCTCATCTTTCCGCATTACGTGTCCTAAAAATTCCAACTGTCTCTTTCGTATGCTTTTTAGAAGGAAACGCTTTGTTCCTGCTCTCTCCAACACTTTCTGATTTGTCATTCTCTCTGTCCAAGATATTCTCATCATTTTCCTGAGAAACCACATCTCTGCCGCTTCTATTCGTTGTTCTATACCTTGGGATGTAGTCCAGCATTCGCTTCCATAAGTGAGAATGGAAAACACATAACAATTCAACATTCTGATCTTTGTCGTCATAGAAATTTTGTTGTTCTTCATTATGCTGCCCAGTTTTTCAAATGCAGCTTTTGCCATTCCAATACGTCTTCTAATTTCTTGGTCACATTTGTCATCTTCAGTTATCATGCTGCCAAGATAGTTGAATTTCTGTACATGTTTTATTAGGATGTTGTCAATCAATATCTTACAATGTTTAGCTGTTCTTTGTTTGCTGATTACTATACATTCTGTCTTCTTCCAGTTGATGGTGAACCCTTTCTTTTTGCTGGATTCAACCACTTTGTCTAGTATCTCTTGTAACTTTCTTGTAACTGACTCAGCAATTAGGACGGTATCATCAGCATATCTCAAGTTGTTAATGTTTTTTCCTCCGACATGAATTCCCTCTAATGGTGTTATTTCTCGAAGAATAATCTCACTATAAAGGTTGAACAGGTCTGCGCTAAGCACACATCCCTGTCTAACGCCTCTTCTAATTTTGGTGTATGAGCTTGTGTCATTGCCTACTCG